CCATGGACTAACAGTAATGAACAATGCATATTGTGCCACCACCTAATGGGAAGGGAAGGAGATAAGAAATCTGTGACGGGTCATTCTTGGAACACTGGCGGCTGCTTTGAGAAACCCGGGGGTGGCTATTAGGAGAGACTTCACAAACGAATTGAAATGTGTAAGAGTTTTAATCAACTTCCACTGATTGGTGCAGTATGGAAGTCATACAACGAGCACACTGAACTATATGGAGAGCTATCTCGAGGATTTCGATACGTACAAGGATATCTTTTTTGAATTCTGAGCACACAAGAAGATGATCAAGGATGCGAGAAATCGGAGAAAAGCCTTAAACACCTCAGGCTCCCAGAGTGCTCAGCGAGGCTTGGAGGAGATTCCCGGGATATGAGAAATATCTCACTTCAACTTCATCAAATTGCACCTGTTATCGCATTATCGGGAACATGCTGAGCACCTTGGGAACATTCCCCATTACTCCATTGATATTAGCAAATTCCCGTATGTACTTCAGATAAAAGAGGCATACGGAGCATCCAACAAGGTTGATGCTACAACGAAGATTCTGTACTATTGGGGATGGTGGTTGGCGTTAGAGATTCGAATGCTGAATCTGAAAGACATTATTGGAGGTCCTGAGAGTATTGACGGCATCCTTTGTAGCCATCGAGATAACCTAAAGGAGTTATTGAGATTGTTAAAATTGAAGAGAGGAAAAAAACTTCAAATAAACGATCCATAGTAGAAGGATGTTTGCCTCCAAGGCGTCTTTGCAACCCCTCCACGAAATCGGAAATACTTTTCAATATTGTGGATGGATTGCAAATAACTCATCCCACTTTATATCGCCTGACAAAAGAGTATGTAGAGAATGCGGTATGCTCTCAGAGCTTTGCCGGAAGCTCTGAGCGCATTTTAGAGCGCCGGATGGAGATGTTTACATATTTGCAGGGTCCGATACCAATCTTCCAAAGACCTGAAGTGTACGAGGTTGACAATATTAAGTGTACGGAAAATGTGGCTTTTAGGAAAGGGAAAATAAGAAAGAATTGGGTATGGGTGTCGGTACCATCTTCAGAAAAGTGGGGAGTGTTTTGGGGATGCTTAACAGTACGTGTGGAGGCTTTGTTAAACCTGCGAGACAGTGGAGGGCGAGTACATAGACTATGTATAGTGGAGCTACTCAGAGCAAAGGATCGTGGTATCACTGATAGCTCACATGGGCTTCTGAAGGTTTGTAGGAGGAGGAGTAAGAGGATTTGGGTTGTTAATATTTGTAGTATATTGGGAATGGCCCATTTGTTTGAGGTGGAGACTAATAATTGGTTGTTAAATACTAGGATAGACTTGCGTACTTGAAATCAATTTAGTTGAATGCTCGCAAAGCCCTGAGGGCATTCATGAGTGCTCTAGGAACGTTAGATCCAATTGGACTCTCTAATTCAAAATTCGTGTGGTTTTGCTATGCATGCAGATTGGAAGAAGGAAGTAAGGTTTTGGCCGCTCAGTATCTGAGTCTGGCTATCCAGCAAGCTCACTCCAGGAGTGCATTCCCAGTCCATATTTGCTGCTTATATATGCACATTGATCTTTCAAATGAGCCGTACCATGACCTCAATCTCAAGTCTAATTATGACTTTCACGAATCGACAGAAACATACACCTCTATCAAAGGTTGACTAGTCATCACCAGTATACAGGATAGTGCTCGTATCAATATCCTGTTACTAACCGTACAGCGACGTTGCAGATACCTACGTTAAATATCATTTGAGGGACTGGTGCCTTCCTATACTTTGACGACAGCGTATCAATACAGAGAAGGTAAAGTGAGGGTTGCCTCACCTTGAGTGGGTATGACGAATACCTCAGCTCTGGAATCATTGGTCAGTGCTCTGGGAGCACTCTCAGGAGCACTTGAGTGAGCATTCATTTGGGCATTCACTGGAGCATTCATGGTGCCGTGGGAAAATTGGCCGTAACGTGAGAGCATCCATCGTGCCATGAGAGCATTCAAGAAAACTGTGAGAGCATCGGGAAGTACTCAACTGGTACTACTGACATAATCAAAAGAAGCAAAAGTTTCATAGGTGTTATAAGCGGGGTCACTCTATCCTAACATCTCCAGAGGGGGAGATAATCTCATGGTGGTTCAGCCAAGCAGATCATTGGTGAGTACCCTTCAGATGTGAGCCATATTTCCTGGCAGTGCCAGAGGATTAGGTGCTCCTGGAGTGGAGCCAGGCACGAGCAGTGTATACTGACGGTGCCAGACTCGGTATATGCTCAGGGCAAGAAACGCCTACCAGGACGAAGGAGCTGTGCGCTGGGTAATACCTGAGCTTGCTGATGGTAGTTAATGCATTTTCGGCTCACTACTGGGCTTTTAATTGGCCAAGATTGTTGTCTTAGCGAGTCATCTCCATTTTAGGCTTAGTTTGCAGCTCTACGATTACCTTGTCGATATACTTGTGCTAGTGAGTAAGCTGCGCTACATGCTGTTCAGTGATTGCCCTGATTATGGGCATGTCCTGAATACTTACTTCAAGCTCTCTGCACTCTCGATTCAACTGGTACATGATGGGGGCTCCTTGACAATTCAATTCTCTCCCAATCCTCTCATTGAATTGGTCCGTAAATGGGTGTTTCTCAATATATAGATCCGTGTCTCCATTGTCCTATCCCCTATGGAGTTGGCACCTATGAGTATTAGACCGTTCTCTGATCGGCCTCACATATTGGTAAGCTTCATGGGCGTCCAATTGCCACCTCCTCTACTGACTGTAGCATTCTTCCCGCCTCGTTGATGTGAAGAGATGACTGATTGGGATGTCGCAAGAGCTCCTCTGCCTGTTTTGGATTTGGGTTCATAGAATACCTTGATCTCTCAAACCTATTGAGTTCTCCATATTATAGTCTTCTTGTAATTATTGCTGATGACTCCTTGACATAAATAAGCTGCTCGATCCTGACTGTGGTTGCCATATATATCATGTGTGAGCGATAAACCAAGGAACTAGATGCGCAATTCGAAACGACTGCTGACTGAGTTTGACTTCAATCGAAAAGAGTTCTGGGTAATTAAGGACATCTGGGTTGTGTTACTCAAAGATTCAAGTAGCACCTGCTTCCTGGAAACACCCAGCGTAATTGTGGTATTTGCAATAAAGGTACTCTGTGCTACTTCAGTGAACAATGAATGAAATGTGAGTGAGATTGTTGTTAGCTGCTGTTGCTACTTGTGGGTAAATAAAGTACCAAGTGTGTGTCTAATAGACTACTTTCTTATTATTCCTCCTAGGAGCATGGTATCTATCCAACACAATCAAAATCCTAAAAGTACTGGTTTAAGCGAGTATTTCTCTTATCGAGATGTTGGTGATATGCGATAGGTAAGTATAAAGTGTAGTGGATATGGCACAATATAGTATTTCGGGAAATGCCGATGCTAAGCAATAGTTTTCTAGGTTTTAAATAATTTAATATTGTGGACCTGATTCCGCTCACCTGATGGTTGATGATACCACTAAGTCGAGGCAGAACTACCTTCTATTTATGCATGTTGGAACCTATGCCAAAGCCCGCTTTCTAATACAAAATGAGATATCGATAATAAAATAACACAATCAATCTGAAGATAACCTTACTAGAAAAGCACCTTGCATAGTTCCGTTCCCCATCCTAATTACGATACGTAATCTTAAACCTTGCAAATACTAGTACTTGGGCTCTATTGTACTATTCCCCTATACCTACTTCTCGAAGTAGAAGAGCCTGCCGCCATAAACCCTGAATGAGTTACTATAATAGTAAACATGCCGTCACAATAGCCTAATACTAGTTTGGTCAAACCACGTACTCCCTCATTACCCGAAAACCTTCTATGGTTGTTTCTTCCTTACCCAACCGTACTCGCATCACAACTCGTTACTCGTTTTCCTTATTGTGCTTACCCTTTGAACAGCATTCCGTGATTCCTATAACAAAAAGGGAGGGGGCATCTAGCATTTCGCCGCTTCACTTTTTGGTCTCAAAGAATGACAGGAAAAGAATTTTTATTTTGCAATTGTGAACACTGGTTCTCACTCGGAAAGCTGTCTATTGACAATCCTAGCGACCCAACCACCACCACCAATCATGACTATCCTGTGACCAAGTGATCATCCACCACGCAACCTTAGGACTACAGTGATAGGAATGATCCATGGAAAAACTGTTATTTGGTGCACGGATCGTTCGCCTACAAATTCCACCCTGTTTTTCCATACATTATTCCGGTCGCTGTATAGGTTCTATCGTTCACGGACACTGGGTGTTGACGGATGGCACGCAAAACTTGGCTTGGCGGTCTCCTTTTGGCTGGTCCGTCAACACACAAACTGACACAGTGTCCGTCAATACCCCGTGAAACCCCGCGAGTGAGTGTACTTCAGAGTGTGGCCAATATATAGGGCCTGTCAGAAACTCGGGAGTTTTAAACTGAGTTTATGACAGTTTTAAACTGGTTACGAACTGGCTGTCAAAAACCTAGATGTCATAGTCATAAACTCAACAGCCATTTTGGGAGTGGGCTAGGTAAATTTTGGAGCAATAATTGGAATTTAGGGGTGGGTTAGGGTAGTTTGGATGGTTAAAATTAGAATTGAGCCTGAGTTTGTGTCAACAGTTTTCAGTTAAAAGCAGCAGTTTATAACAGCCCGGGTTTATGACGCAGTTTATACTAGAGACCGCGCCCAGCTACGAGTACATATATATTGCACCACCCAAAGAAATGTTCATCTTATATATTCAATATCACATTGATACACCACGTTGAATAAAATTTGATTCCACCACTTTGACAAAAGCATAAGTTCATGATCATTAACCGCACATTGACGTACTGATATTGGAAAGCCATACATAATAGAAAGAAGAGAAAGTCACTGCCGGCGGTTTCATGACAACTGGCGGGGTAGTTATAGGTGAAAACAAGAAGGAAAAAAGAAAGTAAAAAGCGATCATCTGCCCACGGGTAGCTCTGCGGTCCACGACCTAATGACATATGTCCTGGCGTCCTCCGCCCGGAGGATAGAAAATGACTCTCCTAGCAATGCAACTGATGCAACGAGATATACGAACTCCAGCAGCCATGTCAACACCGTCCTCAACTTCTTTTCCTGCGCTCTCGCCGCTCCCCCCCATCCCCCACGCTGACCCACTCCGCTCTCCCCGCCCTTCTCCTCGGTGTCATAGGTTGAGGTGCTACTTGGTTCTTTGTTCCGCAGAGTTTTCTCCCGCAGACCCGCCAAGTGTTCAAGTACTAGAGCAATTACAGGCACAATCGCTACTGCGATGCAAGCGCCTCGCCAGATCCACTTTTCATACCAAGACGGAAAGGATTCCTTGCTCCAAACAGTGGCGTGTAAGCCTGCGTAGGCGATGTAGAACCACATGGCACGCCTCTTGCTATCAAGGTTGGCCTTCGTAACAAGGCTTGGGGGGAGAGGTTTGCAGCCGGGTCGGGCGTGCGGGGGTTGGGGGGGGTGGTAGGGCGGGGCGGCCGGGGGGGAGGAGGAGGCGGCTCTAGGAGGCACCTCTCTGATCGTGTCCAGCTGGGACTCCTTGGCGGCGGCTTCATTCGGCTGTGTTTCCTTACCTCGGGGCCGGGGGTGGGGATTGGGTAGGACCTCAACAAGGAGCTCGGCAGGTTTAAACTTGCTAGCCTCACATGAGAAACGCATCGCATTAATTTGTTTGACGGCATCATCCCAACGCGTACGAGCAGCAGCGGGGATATTGGTCTCATCATGATCATCTGTAGGTGCCGAGCGTGGGTATTGAGTATTGAACCGTCGCAATAGGCTCAGTGTTTGCCTGAACTTCTCCCACAATAGCGTTACGGCATCATCCCAACGCGTACGAGCAGCGGGGATCTTGGTCTCATCATCTGTAGGTGCCGAGCCTGGGTATTGAGTATTGAACCGTCGCGATGGGCTCAGTGTTTGCCTGAACTTCTCCCACAATAGCGTTACGCTAGCCTTGAACCCGGCTGACTCCGATCCTGTAGGCTTGAGAGCCTCTTCCGGGTAATAGCTCCACATTGGGTCCGGGGCCCAGTACCGGTCGCCGATATCGAGTTCCATAGGTTCGTTGACGTCTAGCTGCTTATACCACCAATAGCAGTAGAGTAGACCAGCGATGAGGATGCGGACAAACATGTGGAGCTCAAGCACTGCGACAGACAGGCCCATGGCCTTTCGCCCAACCATCTGCAACACGAGCTTGGTGACCTGTGCCATGATGATGAGCTTTGCAATGTTGCTTGCGTTGCCTTTATCGAGGATGTCCTTCTCCTTGTCCTTGACCATCTTGCGAAATGCATCTGGGTTTCTGGCATAGGCATTGAAGAAGTCCTCGGGGGTGATTATGAACATGGGCAGCTTGACCTTGGCCAGCTCGGCCTTGGCCTTGGTGAGCTTGGTATTGGCCTTGGCCAGCTCGGCATTGGCCTTGGCCTTGGCCAGCTTGGGATTGGTGTCGGCCGCGGTATTGTCATCGGCCTTGGCCACATTGACACCGGCCTTGGCCACATTGAGCTCTGCCTTGGCCAGATTAACCTCAGCCTTGGCCACATCGACCTCGACGTTGGCCATTTTGACCGCGGCTTTGGCGTCAGCGAGGTGAGCTTTGGCGTCAGCGAGGTGAGCTTTGGCATCAGCCACATTATTCTCTGCAGTAGCGATGTTGGTCTTGGCATCAGCCTCAGCGACCTTGGTCTTGCCCGGAGCCACTGATTCCTTGACATCAGCCATGAAATCTTCGGCATCAGTCACCTTGTCCTTGGCACCGGCCACCCCTCTCTTGGCATCAACCACCCTTCTTTCGTCACTAGCCACCGTATCCTTGGCTCTAGCCACCCGATCCTTGGCACTATCCACCCTAGCCCTGGCATCAGCCACCCGTTTTTCGGCATCTGCCACCCTTTTCTCGGCACCAGTCACCCTGTCCTCAGATTCAACCACACTGGTCCGACTCTCGGCCTTGGTCAACTTGTCCATCTCCTGGGGGATCATGGCATCGACCGCGGGCGAGGGGTTTTCTTTCTCGGGGGTCATGTGCCCCTTGTTCCTCCCGGGCCTGACGAGCCCGCGCATGACGACGAAGAAACAAACCTCTTTGCTGAAGGGATAGCGAGGGTCTTCCTCCTTCTCGAGTCTTCCGGTGGATCTCATGAACCATGTGGATATCCTCTTGGACCATGGTAGTGGGTCGGCGGCTTTTGCACCTTCCTGGCTGGGGGTGCGCTTTCCCAGTGCCAGTGCCGGTGTGTTTTTCTGTATGTGTTGTAGATTTGCCAAACCCTCATACAGCCGTATCATCTCTGCCCACTCATCATGGGCTTCTTCCACCACAAGATTAGGGAATATCAGCGCCCTGATAGAAGTCGTCACCTTGTGTCTGAGCCGATAGAAGGGTAGGTGATCAATCTGAACATTCACATGTATCGACGTCCAAACGCACAGGCCTAATGTGACAAGACAGGTGGTGACGATGGTCATGGAGCCTCGCGTATCCGGCTCACCCACCCAGCCTTTGGTTTCATTTCTTGAACTGTAACTGGATTTATCGTCCACGGGCGATCCCTCGTTGTCTATAAGATGACAGTCGTTCACGATCTTGGCCTTGGCGGATGCTATGCAGAGAGAAAAGAGGAGGCCGAGGATGGAGCCATAGCTCATGACGGCCGTTTGAGCTGGGAGTGCCATAGAGGCGGAAATCCTAGGAGGGGGTGCGGTGGTGCTCACGTTTCCTATAGCCAGCATCAGTAAATGGTTATTGAATTTGTATGTATTATTGAACAATCAATATTACATACCGCCAAGAGAAATATCAGACAATAAGGCTGCTTGAGAGGCTGGCTAGAGCAAGAGGCAAAGTATGCTAGTGATATATAGAGGCAAAATATGCTAGTGATATAGAGTTGCAGTCAAACAAACCGAAAGCCCGGGGATCTAAGGCCAGGTGGTTAGCTTAATTATGAGGGGTGAGGGGGATTGCCTTCGTTTTAAAGTTCCAACGAGGCCGAAAAAGAACACCCACGTCAAAGTATGAATGATCGAACTGGACTCGCCTGGGTGGGATGTAGACAGTATTATTTGCACTTCCATTATTTACACATGATCCATTGCCATAAGAGAAAAAGAAAAGAAACGGAGTACTTGTCTCTCCAATTTCGATTGAATCTGACTTAGGTTGAAGGTATGTAATATTGATACTCCCGCCCGCCCTTGGAAAACGCAAGAGAAAGAAAAAAACCCACCTATGTAGAAGGTGGGGTTCTCTCGAATATAGGCTTTTATTGGTTCCTAGCTGATCAATCACGTATAGTCGTGGCTGACGAGCAGGCGGCTTTGGGCCGCCAATAGGTATTAAATTAAAAGAAATAGAGATCTCGCAGATTCGCTGTTGCTTGCCGTACTTGGAAGGCCTGCTTGGAATCTTCAAGCAGCACTCGAGAGACGGTGAACGCCCGACAGACTTCAAAGCCTTCAGATACATATGTGCATTATCCATATATACCATGTAAGATTTCCTAATCAATTCTTATGTTCTATCCCAGCCTAATTGTCCTAGAGGCCTCTGAATAATTCTCAACCAGCTATAGGTCTGATATACCGCCATAACTCGAAAAATTGGCTAGATCAAAATTACTTGTACGGGAAACTTCTGGTGCAGATCGATGCCATTCAACCAATCACTCAAGTGGCAATCCCTGGACGGAGATAGCCAATTTTTCGAGTTTTGGCGGTATGTCCATTATGTGCTGTTTTAGGTTGTATATGTGGGCTTGTCCAGTATACAATGAAAGATTCGTTACCTAGGGTGAGATGCTTTTAGGCGTGTGCGCAGTTTAATGTCGTTCTAAATACCAATCTTTGGTTTAACGCATATATTGGTACCGCCAATATAATGCTCAGCTCGGCAATACTCTGAATAGAGCTACGTAGCCGGTTCGTTGTTTTATTTTCATTTGGGTAGAACCCAGCCTTGACGATCAGTATTATCACTACAATGAGATTGGCCAAGAAGCCTCTCATAGTTCATTCGAGTGGGCGGTACTGCCGGAATCTGCTTCGAGTTCTGATTGGTTCACACCATAAATATTATACAATATCTATCCAGATTCAATATACAGCTGAGTTATCATCGTTGACGCACCTGCGGGCCTAAGAAGCACAACAACTATGTGAGTTTACTTTATCCCATTAGCTAACAATAACTAGCAGCGACCTCTTCGCACAAGGATCTTTGTGGAAAAGACTCCAGTAGCCGTGAAAATGCATCAATTTTGACGTTCCCCATACAAAATGTTGCCAGATACACATTATTTGATGCAATAACCGCAATACTTTTTGTAAAAGGCATTCCTGTCCCATTACCAACGAGTTTAAAAATGGTTTTAACTGTTGAAAACGATTTTACTGATGTATTTACCTGCTAAAGACAATAAGATACGACTTCACCGACGACATTCCCCGTTAAAGGCATGTTAGAGGCAATAAAATGCGACTTTGCTGACTGTTTCCGGGGTTTCCTGTTTTCCGTTGAAGCCCCTCCTTTAGACCTCGAGATAGTTGAGTCCCTAAAGAGAGTGCTTCGATGGGGTCATGAAATGGTATCTGTCATCAACGGGCTTGCAACAGTTGGGAAATATAGTTTCATTACGGTGGACCCATTGCTTGGCATATACATGTAGGGTATTCTAACTTAATGCTTCAAGTATAATAGTAGGATGCTCTTTCATGATTCGTTCCATTGGCGATGTCTTTGGTCAATCATGTGAAGCATCACCGGTGGCCGAAACTTATCCCTTGGTAATACGCCCAAAATGAATAGCAGGAGCGTGACAGGTAAATACATCAGTAAAGTCGTCTGTAAAGTCATTAAAAATCGTCTGCAAAGTCGTCCAAGTTCCCTTAAAGCGACTTTCCCTTTGCCAAAATATTGACATTACCCAGCTCGAAAAATGTGGTTACCCAATTAACCGCGGGTCGAATTTGCCGCCCGAGATACCTTGTAAAATGCTTAGAAGACCGTCTCTTAAGAAACTGGAAATTATTGGCTAGACATTCGATGAGTGTGCGTGAAATCATATGCTGGATAGCAAACATTCATTTTATCAAGCCAGCAAGCCACGCTCATAACCTATTTAGAACAACAGAAAGGGTGCCTGGATCCATCCCGCTCTTATTTATTGGGCTGAGAACAAAAACATCATGAGAAATCATTCGGGATAGCAGCGGGGGATGGAAACATAACCGGAGGATCTCGTACGAGAAAGTATGTACCTGGATATCAAGCTCCGGCGTAACACGTTGCGATTGCGAGAGATTTATTTTGCCAATGGCTTCCATAAACATCACGTATGCGCCAAACAATATGCTACTACTGCGCGGTCGAAAGAAAATCAGATATGATATACGACCTGCATGCCCTGGAGTACTGTCCTGCTGTGGGACGTAAAGCCGATATGAGAATCTGGCGAGGGAAAACAAATGCGCATTTTGCGCAGGGAAATAGTCTAAGTTGGGTAGTCGCCGGGCACACACTCAGGGCCGCAGTCTGCTATCCCTGTTCGGGGACCTTTGCGACGACGACGTCAGGCTTTTTAATAGGCTGGAACGGTCTGTATTTGAGCTTGGACTGGCCCAGCCCAGCCCACCAAAGAGTGGGCCCGGACCGACTGGCCCATATAGAGCATATATGGTCCCTCCAAAGATAATTATTGAAGTTGAAAGTGCTAAAAGGTAATTTGAAATCTGTTTTTCTCTCACAATAGGTTGTTTTTTTTTCTCGCAATCGGTGGAGAGATATTTTAATAAACGGGACCATATATTACTCTGCTTGACCGGTCCAAAAAACACTCAGGACTGGCCCAGCCCTGCAAAGAAAATTCAAGGACCGGCCCACCGTCCATATATTTGGACCGGTCCGGTCCATATATCTGGCGGCCCATTACAAAGCCTGAGATCTCCCATATAAATTTAATTCCTCTATTATAGGGTGGTCAGCATAATAATAATAATAATTCAGCTTCGCCAACCGACCAGTCCCTAGTCCGACTGTAGTCAGACTATAGACTGCATTATAAGGGTCAGGGTTCTTAGAGTGTCGCCTAGGTCGCTTTCTTACTAGGTTGAGGTAGCTCAGGGTCTGGAGTTCATAGACAATATGTCTTACTACTGTTGAAAAAAACCGGAATAAGATTAAAAAGGTCTTGTCCTATACTTCTTATGCTGCTGAAGGATTGAAGTTGATTCAATTATCATAAACATCATAATAAACAATTTCTTTTAGGCAGTTCATGCAGTCCGCAGTCCTCAGTCCGTCCAGGGTTTGGACGGACTGGCTTGGCTGGAAAACCGCAGTCGATTGCAGTCCATGCAGTCCATGCAGTCCATGCAGTCCATGCAGTCCGTCCGTCTTTTTGGACTGCGTGTCTTGGCACAGTCGACTGCAATGGACTGCAGTCGGACTGAACCACTGGAGGCGTTGCCAGGATTGCCAGGCGAAGGGATACTGATGCTATTAAAGCCGAGATTCAAAACAATGAAAAATATATAATAGAGTTTATTAATTCGGGCCAGCTGTTCCACTGGAGACATGCTCGCGTGACACATCCCTGGTTCTGTGCTTCTAGAGTACCATTGTCGATCAACGCGCATATGTGCTCTACTATACGAAATAATATATAAGTACTCTCCAGTATGTATGTGTCTACTTGGACAGGCCAGCGAATAGTTGGGCAGGTAATGTCTGAGGTGCGCGCAAGTAGCCGCACCGATTGTATTAATACTCAGCCTACCCTCTTGGCGTGTATCTGTATCTTGGCGTGTGCTGGATCGTGTGGCGGGCTATCCACACCAGAGACCGGTCCCCAAGAACTGAATTATCACTTGAACCCGGTTTCGATCAATCGACAGGTGTTTCGGTGGGTTGCGGGGGTGTCGGGGGGCTGCATCATGCGGGAGGAATTAAGATCAGTTGTTATCTCCCCGTCATCCGGGCAGACCGCCGTAGTGGAACAACAGCACATATATTTTTCATTTTATTAAATAGATCTACCCAGGTTGACCTTCTCTATCATTTAATCTGCTCGGGTTCTTAAAATCATTGTTCGTTGTTGAGTTAGAGCACTGGAGGGTCCGGCGCGACGGAGGGTCTGGCGACCGTGAGGCTTGGCATTTTTTACGAGCAAATTGATGCAGATCTTTCTAGTTGGAATTCCAGTTCGTGGGCTGTTACCTCGTTATCCTCCGTCTCGCCCGGCCCTCCAGTGCTCTCTAAAAACATTCTTGCTGTGGCAATGTCGCTTGCATGGCCAAAAAAAGCACTTTTCCTGTCCTCGGTACTCTTAGCACGTAATTTGTATGTGCTACAGTCCTGTGTTTGTGTTAATGTTCAAATCTTATGTCCCTCAACACCCATTGCCCGTGTTCACCCTGCAAATGCCAGTAGTCCAGATGTAGGTACTCCAGTTAATGAGGACTGCGTGTAGATCCGGTTAGCCGAACCACTGAGGGGTCGCGATCGTTGGGGGCCTTGAAGGTGAAATCGATCCTCAGCGCCAGCCGCTTTCGGGTCCCTGCTCTTCGGGCATGCGCACTCTAAAAGTTGTACAGCGATGGGGAAAATTATTGTAGAAACAGGGGTCTAAAAACAGGGTTTAGGTGGCTGCCCTGGCCAATAGGACTCTTACCATACTTCTACAATAATTTTCCCCATCGCTGTAAACCATGGCACCAATTAATGATCAGGGTTTTTCTTCAGTGACCTGCTGTGGCGTGTCAGCTGATTACTCGTAATTTCATAGCGTTTCCGAAGACGACCAGTATTGCATGAATTTACGAGAGATATTATTTCTTCTCTCAATGTCTTGGCTTGAATATCAAGTTGCAAAGACAGCGTGCGCGTTTTCGAATTTCGCTTGTCGGTAATCTTGAGACACATATCACCCAGTACTGTCAATGGAATATAGTAGACACATATGCGTACCTAAAAATGTGGGTCTAATACTGGTATCCCGACCAGTAACTCCCCTAGTAGGTATAGGCAGGGCATGTAAAAAGCAGAGTGACAACGAATACCATGGCCATCCCCCGAGCTTTCGCCCCGAAGGACCAGCAGGTGGCGCTCGGGATCTCGGGTTTGTAGGTAAACAGATCTATAAACTCAGAGTTATTAGAGCGGTTCTATTGACCAATATATAGTAATACCTGCACGTGTACCTACATGTATCTCTGTTTCCATGTAGGTATGGTGCGCACACTCTTAAAGGTGACACGACGGCAAATGGATGTGGAACAATTGTGGCTGCAATATGGACTCATAGGCCAACCAGAGGGCTCATTTCTAGCCATTTTCCTGTATCACTGCCACAACTTGATCAGGTTTGCTTTTCGGGGGGTATATATGGGTATAATACTGTTCCACTTTGTTCAGTCTTGGCGCTTTTTACATACAAAAACAGCCATTTTCAATCGCTGATAACTTTATGACCATGATAGATATCAAAATTCAGTGAAATAGAACTAAAGTTCATCACTATTACTATACTTCTATTTTACCGTATTTTTGATATCTATCATGGTCATAAAGTTATCAGCGATTGACTTTCCGCTAGTTTTGGTGACCTTTACGAATGGGCGCACCATACCTCTTAGATGCTGCTTTATGTACCTAAGCCAGTTGGAACTCTCCATACAGAAAATGGGGTTACTAAAGTCAACGGTACTTTAGGCACTGTACCACATACAGCGAGGACTACTACCTACTAGTAGGTGGACTGCGCACTCGGAATTCGATTAATAAAACACTCCAGTTACTCACGACCACCCAAATCATACATATCGTGCTGCATCGAAGATGCTCTCCTATGAATCGGGCCAATTAGGTAGGACCCACAACGGATTAGTATATATCCCGAGTACCGCAGAGTTCCGCTTGAACAGACCGGTCTGATCTGGGGGGCGCAGACACGGTTCACAAGGACTAGGGTAGATTGGTGTTTCCCAGTGTGGCCTACGTCGGAGAGCACGACTGTGCTCAGCGTGCTCAGCGTGCTCAGCGTGCTCTGAGAGGTGTGGGTGCAGAGAGGCCGAGCGATATTCTTTTTCACAATATCCTCCATACAGACCGAAATTTGATTTTTTTTTTTTTTCAAATTTGGGGTATATCTAAGGGTGGGGTTGTTGATCAATTGATACTAGCCACTCTACTGGTACGTGTACGTAAAGTATTATATCCCAATTGCGTGGTAATAATTTAACCCCACCATACCTGAGACCCTATATAACGCCACAACCAATAGATAATACCAAATACGTGGAAGTCCTGCGCAAAGTGATTATTTGCTCATAGTTATTGTGGTGGGTGATGGGCCTAAGGAAATCGTGAGGCCGCCAGTTATCACGTCAAGAAAGTATACTTAATTTCACCCCAAGTAATATTAATAGAGTAGGTATTCAGAAAGCAACCATGTACTTGGCAAAAGTGTGTATCCCGTCGTCTGTCGATGCTGCTCACCCTAGAATTGAGAAATCAAATTTGTGTGAGAGATCTGTTAATTGATGAGAGAGATATATCGATAGCGATATCTATTAGGCATGGTAAACTCTCACTAGATTTACTTTTTCTTAACTAGGCAGCATTTTGCGACAGACGAAGGGATAAACTCCTAGATCCATGTCCCAACGCAGAGAATCAAGGCTATCTCCACCTGTGGCTGATGCTTTGGCCAATGAACCGTATTGGGGATCAATCATATCCTGCAAGAGGTCGTCGGTCACTCCTTACCCCGCTCCAGGCATAGTTGTGCTTGTGCCCATGTTGTGAGGAATATCGTGGCGCTAAATTGATCCACCCTCTGTTGAACCATCTGTCTACATAGTGCGCTGAAGGTGACACGTCCATTCTGTACGTGCCAAAATTTGTAACTCCACAACCATTCTCAGCATGAGTCTTCCGCAGCATCATAGCTAGGAACCGTGTTTTCGCAGTAAGTGGGTGATATAAACTGGCAGACCAACTTAAACCTCAACCTTGATAGATATTAAAGTTCTATAGAGTAAGGTCACAAACCTTTCCATGAAAGAATTTTGATTTCTGTTGTGGGTGATTGTGGATTCGTAATGTTTCCCAACCTGACCTAGGTGATGTGAAGACTTGGTCGTGTTTGGAATGAACTCACGAATTTGGTCCTTTGCCAGCTTCACGTGTAGTTAGTATTTTCTACCAAAACGCTCGAAAAATACAGCGAAAAGGTAAGGTTGGCTCAAGGGCGGGCCGCGGGTGACGAGCTAGTACTATGACATTTAACGCAGAGCTGGGTAGTGTAATTATGATAGTATTTACTCCTTCGAAGGGATTCGTAAAAGAAAATCTGTTAGTATCAGGTTGTGGAAACAAGAAATCCCGATAGAAAGATCTCAACTAGGTAGTGTGCCATACATTTGTACTAGGTATAAATCTATACATGCGCTACTGAGCACTCTAACTTACATTAACTGCTCATCCCTCTGTTATATTCGAAGTACTGTAGGTTGCAGGGCAATCTCGCTAAATTATACACTGTTTCCAACGGTTCTCCGGTTTTCTAGAACCGTTTAAGAAAACGGTTCGGTTCAGTTTTGCCTATTCACCACCTGGGTTAAACCGGTTTTGTATGCCGGTGGGACTCCTCATACCAAGAGCGAACACCATATCAGGACCAACCCTAACCCAGAACAGTGTAGAGCTCCCGCCAAACTAGTGCCAAGACCCCAGAACCGTTCTGCAATAGTATAAACCGGTTCTTATTCAGTCGGTTTAGTTGTCGGCCATTTTTATTTAGTTCAATTCAGCTCCGCTAAAAGTAAGAACCGGTTACAACCTTTGGGAACGCTGGCTAAATATAGGCTAAACGCTTCTTAGCGTCTTGCGGATGCGAAACATTTGCCAACACCTTGAACCTCTACTGCAGCTGTGCGCACGTGCGCGTGTGGGGCTCATAAATATACCATATACCAGTCAACCGCTGAGGACCGCACAATAATCTTTTGACTTTGGAAGAAAACGGAAGGTCTGTAAACAGCTCTTGTACTTCTCTAAAGTATTTAGTTGAGATGAATATGTGAACAGCTCATAGAAAGATTATCGCTTTGTGTCCTATACAGTTTCTAAGTTTGGCTCATGCGCTACCACCAAATAAATGAGAGGGCCCTGCTGCTGCATAGACTTGAGAGCGGAGAAAGAAGAAATGCTTTATATTAAGATTCGCCGAAAGAGGTTTGGGTGAGTTCCGAAGGACACGGGATAGGCCACAAAAGGTTGTCAGATCATCGTAGTCGATTGTAGTTATTTTGTCCCATTCGCAGACTCTACCTATCTGCCGGACATGCAGTGAATAGGTGTCCTATCTGGTAGACGCTTTTGATATCCCGAACATCCGCTGAGCGGCTGCCCCATTCATTGGACGTCTTGGGGGAATATTAAAACCGATACAAGGATATTGTGTATACGTAGGTACGACTACTAGTATTTTCCTAACGTTTATGGACGCGGCATTTCTTTTTTTTTGTTTCATTCATTACTCATATGCAACCTTCCGGTTATGATGAGGGCCAACCCGAAGGTTGACGATTAAGTACAAAATTTTCTCCCTAGAACGCCTCTCTATCCGCCGCTACTGCCTAACTAAATTGAAACTCTTACACTAAAACATTTTTGCCGTTACGTTTATGAAAACGTTTCAAATCTGCATTTCGAGACTACCGAGTATATTCAGGGTACCATCTCCGCCCCTCACTGTACCTTAAGATGTTGAAACCTGCGACTGACATCATAATCATTGCATCGCGTCCTTAGGTGAGAAAAGACTCGCGATTCTAAACTGGCTTTCTAAGGTCGAATATAAAAGACATCATGAACAAGCCAAGGACGAGTTGCTAGAAGGAACTGGACAATGGCTCCTCGACCATGAGAAGTATCAGGAATGGCGGTCTACAAGCGCGTCGGGGATCCTATGGCTTCACGGCATTCGTAAGTCTTTCATTCATTGACGCCGACTTCTTCTTCTAACTCTACATGTACAGCTGGCGCGGGAAAGACTAAACTTACGTACGTTTTGCCGTTAAAAAACCGAACATTGTTGCTGGTATAGACATATAGATAGCTGCATGGTGATCGAGACTTTGATATCGCGACTTGCAGGGAAAGAGCCTGTGGTATACTTCTACTACAACAAGAACGATCCCCAGCGACAAGACCCCGAAGTCCTGATGCAGGCCATCTTGAAGCAACTTTCGATCGCATATCCGGGCCTATCAAAGGCAATTGTGGCCGACTACAATCAGAGGTTGGAAGATGGGATGGCGGCGGGCACATTGAGGTTTCAAGAAAGCCAAAGTCTAATACTTTCGCTTCTGGACCTATACCCACAGACGACAATTGTGGTCGATGCCCTAGACGAGTGCGATCCGGGGGAGAGTTGGCGGCTTCTTGAAGTTTTTAAGACACTGTTAGACTCTGTCGGAAGTCTGGTAAAGATATTTGTTTCTAGCAGAGACGATATCGACATCAAACTCCAACTCGAAGGATTGCCAAATCTCTACATTGATGCGAAGGAGACAAGCCATGATATCGAGCGATTTGTCAACCGGGAGATTGAAACCGCGATTCGAAACAAGAGGTTACTCCGTGGGAAGGTTACAGACGACTTGAAGCTACATATAGTGAACACTATTGTAGAGAAGGCTCAAGGAATGTAGGTACTGATATATCATGTTGATCCCGAGTGCACTCTGACATTTTCGGAACCTATAGGTTTCAGTGGGCCGACCTTCAGATCAAGAGTCTCTGCAGATTAAAGCTTGCGTCTGACGTCGAGGAAAGGTTAACAATGCTGCCTGCTACACTGGAATCAACCTATTCCCAAATCTTGGACGAAATTAAACAAGGCACCCCGAAAGAATTTCATCCCGCAAACAGATCCCTAATGTGGATCATTGGCACTCAAATGCCTTTAGATAGAGATACATGGGCTCAATTCTCTTATTGGCCTGACGCTGTACCCGAGGACGGTGTCGATTGTCTGTTTTCTCTATGTCGCAATCTAGTAACATGGGACAGACAGCTCGATCGTGTCATCTTTGCGCATCTCTCGGTACAAGAGTACCTTGAGGGGGGCAGGGCTGAACAAGAACCATGTCCATTCCGGAATAGCGGAGGCTTGCATCTCCGGCCTAGTCCTACTTGAATCGAGCAGCGGTATGGAGCGGGCCTGCGCCAGTAAGAAAAAGTCTACTCTAAAGTGTATCGAGCTTTACATGGTGTTCACCTGGTTTCTCCATGTTGAGCTATCACTGGATAAAGATGAAGAAAGCCTAACCCCAGATTTGGCTGCCTTACTTCTCAACCTTTTGGGCACCAGTGAAAAGCCTGGGGTAGAGTTTATATTCTGGGTACGAATATTTAGCAACCTAAACATCAAACGCTACTGCGTAAAGTGGAGGACGAAGGGGATCTGGTCCACGCCTTCGTTCAAGGAACGGGTGCCCGGTCTGTGTGGGGCGGTAGCGGCAAAGCCGTCTGACCCATATTTTCTAATTGCCCACTGTCGCTTCGGGAAGAAGTTTGATGAGAACTTCCCAATATCTTCCCACAACGTCAGTCGGAGGACTATTAACTCGGATTGAACTTATGAGTGTGCCTCGGGTCCGACCTCCTTTTACCTGGCCACCCAAGCCGGCAATGAGTGTATCATGGACCGACTTCTTGCAGCAGGGGCGGATTTCAATGCGGTTGACGCGAATGGGAATACACCTCTGAAAAGCGCGGTACGCAACAACCACATACGCATAGTGTTGAAGCTCCTGGATCTAGGTGCCAAACCGATGGGAGGAAGTATGAGGAATATGATGCGAGCGGTAGCGGCGGAGAAACATGTAAGCCTAATGACCGCTCTTCTATTGAGAGACGAGAAGCTTGAGATCACCAAGGAAATACTCGAGGCCGCTGCAGGGAATTTTTATGCTTGGAAAGGGATGTTGGAAGTTCTTCTGCCAAGGAGCAAGACAGCCACGGTCACGGAGAAAGTCATCGCGGTGGGTGCGAGCAATACACAAGGCTGCTCAATTCTTCGGATGTTCATGGATATGGGTGTGAGGATCAAACCAACTGAGACTATCCTCCTGGCCGCAGTGGGGTACTGGACGGACGAAAGAGCTTTAACCCTTCTCCTGGCTGGTGGTGATGGCCGGCTTGCTGTGTCAGAGAGGGTATTGGCGGTAGCTGGTCAGAGGGGGAGCTTGCCCGTTCTGAAGGCTTTGGGCAGCGTTTACGATGGAGAACCCCCAGAAAGCTCTCTATTATCTCTTATCCACAAGGATACACGTATACCTCAATTTGAATGGGCCTTTAGATTTCTACGGCCATACTCGGATCACTGAATCCGTCTTGGTGAAGATTGCAGGGAAGTTCTGAGAGGATGATAGAAGTCCTCCTGCGTCACCCAGACCACCGCGGAGTGATGCGGCAGGAGGCGTTTGTTCTCGCCGTGACGCACTCCAACAAGGTGGATGTGCTTGAAACACTACTAGACTTCAACTGGGACGATGGTGACTCCATCGAGGTAACGGAATCTATCCTCATCAATGCGGTGTTGGGCCCGTCGGGCAACAGGTGGTCGGAATTCTCGCGTTTGCTGAAGCGTGTCAAAAATACCGAGGTAATGACGGAGGCTCTCATGACTGCGGTTTTGACGTCTAGAGATGAGAATGCGGGCGATTTGGTGCGGGGACTGCTCGATTACTTTGGTCAGAATATCGCGGTCACAGATGCACACATTAAAACTGCAATCAGCCAAGGATCGCCCGTCACAGAACTGAAGCTCTTGATGGCTAAAAACCCAACCTTTGAAGTCATTGGAGCCACACTCATAGCATCTGTGAGATATGCACCGCAGTTAACCTTCGTCGGTTCGATGGCCGATAATAGGGACATAACGGATATCAAGGACGAGTTGTTTTATGCAGCAGCCAAAAACTGCACATATGGTCACCAAATCACCGAACACCTCCTAGGCCTACTCGGGGACAATACGTACCTGCCGGAGGGGGCAGTTATGCGCGCCTTGAGGAAATGGACGAACCGCGGCGGTGCCCTTTTTCAGCTACTACAGAGCCGTCACATCCCCAAGATCACCAGGAGGGTTGTAGCGTCCCTTACGAAAAACCACGATTTCGGGCCTTCCCTTTTGGGGTGCATACTAGAAAAGTGTCCGCTGGAGGCTCGGTCCCTCTTCACGGAGGAGGCTATTGCTTCTACGGCCAGACGTGTGCGGGGATATGAGATGATCAAGACCTTGTCCGCCGAGGATGTGCCTCTCCTTATTACAGAACGGCTCGCGGCTGCTACAGCAAAGAACCGAGACTGTGGTCCGCTAATAATCGAGGAACTCCTAGCGGGAGGCCACGCCATAGTGATTACTGAGGATAGGATGGAAACACTTTGGGAGGACCATCCGGAGAAGAATGCGGTTATGCGTTCATTCCGCGCTCGACTATCAGATACGGCGGGCCTGTCATCCCCTCCAGTCCTGCCTCGATCCTCAGGGGTTGGGTACCCCAATTCTTCGGAAGACTACTCCAGCTCCTCGGATGAAGATGAATTTGCCAGCTCGTCGCTTTTATAATAACCAAGTGAGGAGCTGCCGGGGATCGGGAGATAGCATCATAACCACTCCCGACGATGATTAATGTGGGGGTTTACGGGGGTTCCTGTAAGTTTTTAATCTTCAGGTTGGGGTCTGATATTGCTCCCTGACTCATTCTGATCGATATTGAAGTGCGTAATCACATGTTGTATATAACTCCCAGGTGGTTTTATATACACAAAGCAAGACCAATGTCAAGAATATAAGGGAATGATACCACTTTGTCTTACTGTTCAGCACTGTATCTTGTTATTTTCTGTCTGAATTGCTTTCTCTTGATTATAATCCAGTCAATATCTTTCCTTATTTACGCAGGTTAATCTACAACAGAAATTGATTTCTGTACATAACCAAAATGGTACATGCGACACTGACTCCGCAAGGGAACGCACCTACTAATGAGAAGGTATATCATAGGAATATGGTAAGAGATTTTATTGGTCTTGTGCAGTGTAGACATCTTATTCCGGGTATCTGCCCACCCGCTGCCCATGTCTTTGAATGCTTTATTCCCCCCCGTTGAGCGTTATCAGGTTCACACTGGAGGAATACTCCGATGGAGGAAACTGTTATAGGAATCACGGAACACTGTGCAAAGGGGAAGCACAGTGAGGAAAATGAGTGATGGGTGGTGATGCGAGTACGCTCGGGTGACCAAAGAACAAGCATAGAAAGGTATTGAGTAGTGGAGAAGCATGTGGTACGATCATACTAGTATTAGGCTATTGTGATGGCATGCTTACTATTAGGATGACTCACCGGAACAAATTAGAAGTGGAGTTTACGGTTGCAGGCTATTCTACTTCAGGAATTAGGTATAGGACATTATTATGATACAGCTCGACTACTGGTATTTGAGAGATTCAACGTTGCGTGTCGAAATTAGAATGGAGAAAGGGTCTATACCGGGGCGTTTTTCTATTAGGGCTATCTTCAGGCTAATTGTATTATTCTATTATCGTTATTTCATTAGTATTAGAAAGCGGGCCTTGATATAGGTTCCAATATATATAAATAGGATACGGTTCTGCCTCGACTTAGTAGTATCATCAATCATCAGGTGAGCGGAATCACGTCTACAATATTAAATTGTTTAAAACCTACAGAACTATCGCTTATCATTGGCATTTCCCAAACAGAAACACAATAAGGCTCTTGTAACGGGAGTCTCTTCTAAGAGAAATAGAATAGGATAGAATAGAGATGGTCATGCAAGATAGACAATCAAGTTGCAGATTACTCAAAGATACTATTGCTAGAACTCAATAATCTTTAAGGGCTCTGCTACTGATAAGAACTTCATTTTCTTTTCTGATGAAGACTGGAGAGAGCAGGACTGAAGGGTGAGAATGAACCTGAGTACTTATACTCCAAAGGCCTCTATTCTCTGCTCTTAACTTCTTACTAAGTTCCGGTGAAGCCTTTCTTGGCCCGGGAAACAATACCACCAGTACTTCGCTTTTCCTCAAGCATCAGCAGGTGTTTCCGATACCCAATGCAAACACCCTTAGTCAAAGCCATTGTAACACCTGCAGTCTAGGTTGCTACACAACCGGAGTCTCTATGAATGAGCTGCTACTCAGATGTAAGCTTAATCATTGCTGTAGAGCTTTCGCTTATTGTAGACTTTCCTGGCATAGTTTCTTCCACAAATCGGTGGACTTACAATGCTCAGAGGATACAGAGGATCACTGGACAATGAGAGCTTCGCTCTGGCCAGTATTCTAGTCACTGGCAATGCATAGGCTCGTCAGTCATTGCTCCCATGCATAGATCCTCTTCCTAGTGCCCAGAATGTAGTTACTCTAACAGCTGGTAGCTAACCACACTGCCGGTACTTGCATCTCACTGTGCAAATGGCTTCCAACAATAACTCTCAGTATGTAACCGGGCCCTGTGTGTACTCATACACCAGACAGTTTGAAATGGCTCCGTTACAGCTCTCCACCAAAGTGCTCAAATATCTAATAAGTATATAGATATACCAGGTATGCAATATGCGGCTTAAAGGTTCTGATTGGCCATGTTCTAGGTTTCCTATTTCACTATTTCTGAGAGGTATCATGAGTCAGTGGATATCATGTACCCGGGGATCCCTATAAGTGATGCAACGATCATATAATCCATATTTGTCAACAACGAAACTAGCCAACAAGATGCGCAGTCAATTTATAATAATTTACAAGGTGGGGAACATAGTTTGGCACTAGAGGTATTATGAATAGCTGTTGCTTGTCCTTTTATCACCTTTGTTGGTCGGAAGTTCTCCCTTTTGTAGGCTAAAAAACACAAATTAATGACTTAGTAAATGTAGATTCTATCCTAGAGACTCCTGTGTCATGTGTATGATCAGAATATCTATCTTATTCAGTCGTTGTGTTGTGTTAAAATATTGGAATCCAGGTGCCTTTTGGCGTTGTTATGTCAAACGTTGCATCACTTTTGGGGACCCCCGGGTACAGTACATTCTGAAGCATACATGAGTTTCCATATTGGTGTTTTATGCCTCTATCATATATCACTGACTCAAATGTGGTAAAGTTCGATTGCAAGCCACCCCTAGGTATAGAGTTTGGGCTTATGAATTTTAGATGGGAATATAACTCCCCCAGGAGTGTATTTGATGACAAAGTGAATAAGCACCCACAACGTGAGGTAGGGCCTGTTCTGATCCAACTACTGTTTACTACCTCGGACGCCAGTTTTGTTTATCTGCCGCGCTCCCGGTGTATGCCCAGATAGCATATGCCCGTGGCAGATATATGACCTAGCTTTTGAACAATTATCGCTCGGATCATTGAAAACTTTCTCGGGCAAACCGGCACAACATCATCTTTCTCTGGCCCATCATCTTCAGCAATGCCCATCGACGCCCTGTGCTATCAGGCCAGTTTCTCGTCAGCCCTGATAGGTGCCCGTATTCCCATATGACGTGACCTAGCGCACTAGCCCGATCCGCCAAAGGGCACCCCCCCTCCCCCCAATCACCTCCCTTAAATTAGACTATTTCGATGCAAGATCCATCTTTTTTACCTGGTGACACAAAGATTTGGGTTCTGAGCCAGTGATGCGGTGAATACGAATTTTGCGACAATATATACAAATCGGGACCTGTACTTATTTGATGGGCTACAAAGGCCCCCACTTCTTGTCCCACTTCTTGTCCCTCTATTATTAGACATCTCATTAGCGAAAAGCTCGACCCCCAGCTAGCCACGTGATTAAGCTAGGCAAGAGACAGAGAAAACATTCGAAATGCACTTCCGACTAGGTTATCTCGCAGCAAGATCGGCAAGATCGGGATCTCCTGGATGCTTTGTGCGGTCCAAGATTAACGATGTTGCCCAAAAATACATGACTTGCACCATCCTGGTGTTACCGTAAGCAGGCTATACTAAATATAGCAGCATCATGCACTGGCCCAGTAATCAGATATCGATATATCGCGAAATATGTGAACTCAACTTACCAACCATTTGACTCATGATACGAGCTCTAATCGTTCCACCCATGGTATGCAGAACCTTGGAGAACAAGCGGAAGTTGGTGGTGGATCATGGGATCGGGTATGAGGACTATTCCCATCGGATTGCTTGAATGGGAAAGAAACACACTAAGCAGGGCAAATCCTCTTCGTGCGAGATCTCATCGTGAATTTACAATTAAATCATTATCGACTCCAAGTACCTAGGTATGGGTATGTGAATAAATACCCAAGTATTCCGCACTACCTTTCCATCCCCATCCTCATCCTCATTCTGGAAGACTACCAGCAGCTTCAGCCATCCCTGCCTAGATAGCCACCGGTTCCCTCGTCTTTGGATATCAATCTCCCAATATGAAATTCTCAATCTTCGCATCGCTCCTTGCCTTCACCGGCCTGGTCTCTTGTGCTCCGGTTCCTGATGTTGAAATCGAACGTCGCGCTGTGGCAACAATCTACCCATCGCTTGCCGTCAATATCTTTACTCCCAGCAATGGGGTTGTCATGGGTGATGTCTACGTCTTCAGGGTATGTCGATTCCCCGCATCATGATGCACAACTGGTACAGGTACTAACCCGAACCCCAGTACACCGCACAAGGAATCCAGCACGAGACCAATTCCCTTCTCTCGTTCAACTTCCCGAGCGGTTACGGTGGCAAAACCTGCAGCTTCTCGTTTGCCAATGGGTGGCCACAGCCACTCAGCGACGTTTCAAACTCGCGGAAGGTTCAGCTCTTCAGCGTGGGTGGACCGATTTCGGCGACAAACACCTACACCAACAGGCCGTACAGGGATGTCCCGTACGGGATTTTCTCCGTTACTCCAGACGGTGCTGTGGGAACCTGGGATGGACCAACCCCGACTTTCCCATGCCCGGCTTCTGCGACGACTCTCGGATTTGAGGTGGCGCCGCAGGGTGATTTCGATAATGTCTCCTGGCCGCTGGGCGCGGGGTTGGCGGTGGTTGTAATGTAGATGGGGGTAGTAGTCTCGCTTCCACGCGCGGTTTTAATTATTTGATTGGACTCTGCCCGCAGATATTTCATTTGTTGAAGCTTGAGATGGGTAAGTGGTTGCTGGAGTGTTTGGATATTTAAGTTCGGGTCAATCCTTTAAACCTTTGTTATTGAACTGTTACCATTACAATATATTTGGAATATAGCTTTAGTTGGACCTTAGCATACTTTCGTGATCTGCTGAAGCATCGAACGCGCTCCTGAGGTACATATATATGTTCGTCGTCGGTCAAGAGCAGGTACCAATTGATTGATACACGAGTACTGAGAATCATGCTTCCCATGCTTATCATTATATCTGAAACTCGACCAGGTCATCGGGCGTCAGTCCTGCTATGATTGACTTTAAAGTAGACAACCGGGTTTATTCATGCCGGTATATGACTGAATAAGTTGTGAGCTTTCAGCAGATAGGAATGGCCGGCTTTGAAAGCCAGCGAATTCGTTTCGTTTCGTTGCGAAATTGTTTCCATCGGTAGAGTTAGTGGTAGCAGATTCAGATTCATATTGGAATATGTAAATTTATACCAAAGGTATCAATTTAAATTTTGTTGTGTCTCGTTATGGGATGGTAAGATGGAGCGCGATGTGTAGGGCCGGGACAGGAAGCCTAGGTTCTAAGCACAATGATGACTAAGTGATGCAATGCGAATACCGAGTTATTCGGGGTTGCCAAGAGCGTCTTTTGCCTTTTCTTCTTGGCAACCCTCGAGATTTGGCGGTATGCCTTCTCAACCCTGGAGTAAATTTCAGGGCATAGGTCTTCTTCTCCACGCAACCTTCTTGTTATTCACTTCAAGATACTAGTTCGTCTTCTAATTCGTCTTCGGACCCTTCATTCTTCGCTTCGGTTGTGCTCCTTGGCCCCGTAGTCTCCGTCTTGCCTTTGCCCTCGCTTAAACCCCCATATTCAAACACGCATCTAGGAGCAGAGTTCAGGTTCAGGGCATAGCCGTAGAAACCACAATGTAAGCGAGCAGGACTAGAATCTCTAAGGTGACAGGATAGCAGAATGGGATTAGGGGGTAAGGAGCACAACCGGTGTCAAGGATAATCGGAGAGATCGAAGAGCAAGGTAAGAGGAGCGGGGCCGAGATATTGAATATCCAAGTTACAACACAAAGATTACATGACCAATATATATGTCCCTAACTGTTCGACCGCCTTCTCCACGCTCCAATACCCTTTCCCAAGACTACATACATGCCAGGGCGCCGCGGTAAGCGGGCAGGCTCATATACGACCTCATATATGGTGTGCAATAGGGCCGTGTGGTAACGGTAAATAGGCGTGTTTATTGGCGGCAGGCAAGCTGATATTATATTTGTACGCCCATATAAATCTAGCAGCGGCGTGGAAAAGCAGGGGTTAGGGTTATTATTGTCGCGCGCTCGAAGAGCAGCTCTTGGCAGCCGAGTGATTTCCTGTGATTAAGAGCGAGCTATTTGCGGGGGGGGGGCATCCCTGACGAATGCCCACGGCCAGAAAAGTCCCACTGCCAGAAGCAAGGTTTGTGGAGAGCCTGATTTGACTGCTCACAGACGGTGAGTTAGGGTTGTGGTTGACAGATTTTAGCTTTTGAAGTGGCGTGGGACCCCTGCGCGACGGCGCTATGACGATTTTGGCTAAACGAGCTCTTAGTAGCAAAACGAGGTGTAGTAGATATTGGCTATAGCAGCGGAATAGATTCTTATCATGTCTTGTATTAACACAGGAGGGAACTTAGTAGCCCTTTTATAACAACAATCTTCTTGCCACAATTATTACAGTCAGGATATATTTTCCCAGGCTCGCATAGTAATTCCAACCCGAGGAAGCGAGGGGTGACCGAGTGATATTCTGTGATAAAGAAATGGGGATAGGGCGGAGGATCACCTCCAATAAGTGTCCAGGGCCATGTAGATTTCGCGCTGTCACACAGGATGGTACGGAGAAGCCAGACTGATTGAGTGCAGGGGAGGTGTTGACAGGCGAGTGATCACTCATGATTAAGAGGGGCGAGCAATGTTTCCCTTAAGCTTAAAGGCGAGAAGGTTCATATAGGACTGCTGTATCCTTGCGGGGATCAGTGCTTTTTCCTGTTGACGCAGGCAAAAATGAGAGCTCATATAGTATGTTTTGAAATAGGGGCTGTGTCGTGGCGGGAAATACTGCTGTCTCGCGGTGGGCAGGCTTATATGGGCCCGTATGCGCTGTGTCTTGGCGGGCGAAGGCGAGTGATTTCCTGTGGGTTAAGAGAGGGCATACAAATTCCGCACTGCCAGAAGCGACGGCGTGGCAAGTCACTTTGGCGCGCAGACGGTGGGTAAGGGTTGTGGGACGGCGTGGGACCCCTGCGTGGCGGTGCTCTTACGTTTACATACATGATTTACCGTGTTTTAGTTAAGCGAGGCGGTGTCCTAGGATCGGGCGGCCCGTGGGGGCTAAATGTGGGGTCCCCACAGTCGCTCATTTTAGGGCCGAACTGCTCGTTTTCGGCGGCCTCGGCAGTGCGGCTCCAGGCATACAAGTATATTAGACCTTTTAAGCCAACAGAAAAAAAAGATTGGCGAATAAAAAGATTAGCGTCTACTAGCTGGAGGTAGTAGGTATGATATTTTCTATGCCACTCACAGAGGCCACTGTCATGGTATCAAAAGTATAACCGTGAGAGCATGGCTATTAACTGCGTTTACCTGATCACACCAACCTAGCATGGCTAGTAGAGCTAGAGGATTATCCTTTTTTTCGCCGATCCTTTTCTCCTGCAACGGACGGTGGCTTAAAATGTCTATTAACTGTACTGTCAAATTGTCAATTCCGGCTAACAGGTTTCCGGAATTGACTGCCGTCGAATAACAGAAACCAGCTGGATGCCTGAATTCGTGAGTCATGATGCCAAATAGAGCTTGTGCATGCCAAGAAAAACTGAGCTGGCAGTACTTCTGTCCCCCCGCCCCCCCAAAGCCTCTGGGGGGGGTTTATATGATTATATCCAATTATACCGATACTAGTAGTGAGTATAATACTCGTATTTGGCGCTGAAAAGGAAATAAACTCCCAACCCTTCCCCAACACACCTATCATCTACAGACTCAAACAAATGCCATCTCTCAGAAAAGGTCGTAGGAATAATTATCTCACAACGGTCCGAGGAAAAAGGATGCGTAAGGCAGCCCCAAAGCCAGCTCAAGAAGACGAGAATGACCCAGCAACCGCTTGCGGGCACATCGAAACCGATACGTGTTGGTGTGCTACCGCCGCCGACAAGCCCGGTAGATCCCACACTAGGCGAAATCCTCAGAAATCCGCTTCAATAGGTGAAACCATAGGCTTGAACCCATCGGACACGAAAAGACTTTGTATTTTTGCGCACTATTTCAACCTTGGCATAAAGGAAGTGTTTCGCGGAACTGCTGTCTCTGCTTGTTGGAAAGGCTTGGGGGTGTGGGATCTGGTTGACGGTACCAAGGGAGAGTACTCTGTCGCCTGGCTCCAACAGGTCGTGGAATTCATGGTCCACAGGCACAGGTCACGGTAAGTCCAGTTGATGACGGCACCCCAATCGATAAGGATCCATTCCAGAGAATACCTCAGCTCAAGCCAGTCTTCGATCTCATGTCCAAGGAGACAGTAAATCCTCAGGAAGGAACCTTCGACGACCGCAGTCCGATGGGAAGAGGCTAGTTCACCCACGGCTTTATTCCAGCGTCCTTCAAGGTGCTGTCCCTTGGTACGAGTGACGACCGAGCCATGTTAGCCAACGTAATGAAGACCCCGGCGCAACAAAGAAAGCTATGCGTTTACACATTGCTCCGCATGGCAGTCTTTTCCGACTTGGACGACCTTGACGGCGGCGCCCTAAATGTCGGCGATGCCAGGCCGCAACTCTCACCCGGCACTGATCATGAGGCTGACTCCCATGGTGGACTTACGCCAATGGACATCGACAGCTCTAGCCCCCCAGGGATGACTTGTAGCTATAGCGCAATCGCACTAGACGAGTGTACAGCCCGTCAGCCATCAGCACCTCCAGATTTGACACAACGACAGAGGCAAGCGAGCGGGGATACCGATGGGGAAGAGCATACATATTGCGGTGGTGGTGGTGGTGGTGGTGAGTATGAGGTCATGGTCCCATATTCTGCCAGGGACGATATCGTTGCTGGAGCCGTTCGTGGGGGAGCGGCCTCCCTACATGCGCAAGGATACGCACCTCCCAAACTCCCGGGGCTGTCCATAACCCATACTAGCGCGGTGGACCCATATTATAACGGACTCGATCACGAATGCCGGCTAGATCGGATGGAAAAAGCGCTCATCAATCTGGGTGTACGGCTGGACAATCGGCTGGAATATCAAGATACACGGCTGAACAATCAAAAGCCACGGCTGGACGATTAAGATATACGGCTGGACAATCATGAGACACGGCTGGACAAACAAGATACACGGCTGAACAATCAAAGGGCACGGCTGGACGATCAAGATATACGGCTGGACGATCATGAGACACGGCTGGACAAACATGACACGAACTTCCAAAGCCTTCAGGGGGACATTCGTGGGATCAAGTCAATGTTGGAGCAAAATCAGTCTCGACGTCGAAAAGAGGAGGTTGATCGTAAGAAAGGGAAGGTGTAGAAGGAGAAACGTCGGCAGCGCAACGAGAGGGAAATTCGGAAGCACGGGGAAGCGCTTGGGCTGTTGATGGCGAGCATGAAAACTCTCCTCGAGGGAAGGAGTGAGCACACACCGAGAGATTCCGGACCTCCAGCTGCCCCAACGTCTTCTTTCAATATGTCGCCAGCCGAATTTGAAGCGGGACCTAGTAACGGGGCTGGGCCCCCGCCCGCGGACCCCCAGTCCAGATATAGAAATCCGAATAACACGCACAACACCCGCTCCATGACCAAGGCCGCTGCGCACCGGGCCCACTAATATAATTTGGAGGCACCGTCCAGCGCGAACACCCGCATCAAAATTAGGTTCGCAGTGTGAGGAGTCAATGTTTATGAGCTGGCCGGGAGTGAGTAGGGGAGCCCCCAGAAGGTTGCATCTTTCCAACCTTCTGGACACGAAAATACATATCAAGCCAATCAAGAGTTTATCGGTGGATTCGTGTATCTTAGAATCAATCAGTGGGATAATACAGCAGTTGATATCCTGCAGTAATTTCGTGAACATTGTATTGAACGTATATAGCAAACCCTCTGTGACTATACCTTTTCTTTCCATGTGGGCTTACATGAAATATGAGCACAGGGGCTCAATAACAAGTCTCGTTCTCTAGTCCGTTTCGAAGGTTTGTCGCTTTAGAAAGACTTTTATCCGGCCGGGCGCCACACCAGGTTCGAACGTCCATGGCCAGAGATCGCGGGAAGAAGTTGGCCATTCCGGGAGTTCCTAAATAACCAGGCCAAGTGAGAACTTCGGGAATAGCGTTAAAGGTATGTGTCTTGCGATCGGGACCTGCCGAATGGTGTTCTAACTCAAATATAATTCGCTGTTAATTACATATATAGTATTCTAGTACCACTACTAAGTAGCGCCGGTCCTCATCTGACTCGGAACATGAGGTCACAACGTGCACCACTTAGGCCTGGCTGGCTAGAAGCATATACCAGGCCACTTATACTGCCCCCCCAAACGGCCATGCTGATCTTCACCTCTAGATGCATATAAGTGATTGTAATACCATTCGTTAACTAAAGGCGGGAGAATTACGGAATATCTTGATTCCACTCATATGACCGTGGTCATCAGGGCCTCGAGACGGCCCAGAGGATATCAGGCGCAGTTTGGTGGACATAAAACCGGAAGGTACCCGGCATCTAAACTTAGATGAATGCCCAGAGAGCGAATGACTTCCTCTGTGTATCTTTTCCCCATTCATGAGATATTTATCTTTCTCGATTGAGTGTATCTGTGTATTTATTTTGGACTTGCAACCTTGTTGAATGCCGCCTCGACCCGCGGCACTCCCGCGAATCAAAACTGAGTACACGGGCCGCAAGGCGGGGGTGCGTCCCGCATCCCGGCATCATTTTCGTCTCAACGAAGGCACTGCATGGGATGTGCGGGCCGGGCTGTTGGTGATTTGCTAGCGCCGCGACACCCCTTGGCAGTCATGCGATATCACTCGGCGAAAGTACTGGGATCATGAACCATCACTCGCAATGTTCACACATCATCACTCGATCCACCTCGCCCGGTTTTCAGAAAAGATTTCGACGAAGTCCGGAATTGGATCTATGCCTACCACCTGCTGGTCCAGTTTATATAGTTGGGTTTATGCGTTATTATCCTTCAGTCCCCCCCCCCCCGGGTCCTAGGCCCTCCGCGGTATCTCGCCTCACTTGGAGATTCCTGGTAGCGATCGGAGAAGATGGAATACGAACCTTTCATATCCAGGCTCAAAGGTAGGGGGCGGATTTCAGCGACCTAAGGGGGTTGGTCCAAGGGCCCCTTCGGTGCTCTGGGTGATTTGCGCGCGCTGGAAATAGCTGCAAGATGTATACGGTTACTGCAAGATCAAGGGTGTGACCGCAGGCACTGCTAAGGGAAGAATACTTATCAGGGGTCATTTTTGTGTCAACTATAAAGGGACCTCACCTGAGGACGGACGCCTAGTACCGCCCTATGGCTGGTGGGTTGACGTCGGGGGTGCGGGAGGTTGCGGGATACAGCGGGAGGATATCAAATACGCTGGCTAAATACTAACGTAGTTGCGATTACGTTGCTGGAGGGCTAGTGCCCTAAGTAGTTCATATCGTGATTACAGAAGTTATGTAGTTGCTTCTTCTGTCTATAATACAAAGATGGGCCATGCGCCCCATATTCGTACCCCGATATATATGCCAAGGGTTTGGCTACTAGAGCTTAGAACCATCCAAATCATGACCACGTACTGACATACATACCGGAGAATAATATCATACAACTGAACAACGTAGTACAATCAGATACATCACCGGACATGAACCCCCAGGCTTGGAAGCCTCAAAACAACAATTCATATTTTACTAGAGCATCTTAATACCTGACTACACTCCTAAAACTAGCCACGAGGGAAACTACAGGATGACGAATTTCAACGATAACAGCGCTGGTGGGTTACCGCATCTCCTTGTGCGTTCAAGAGTCGCACCAAGGATCCTGAGAGATCATGTACTACGAGATTTCAGGAGCAGGTGGGAATTATTTCTGAGGAGAGGAGTTGTCTTTTCTACACCGCAAAAGACTAATGAAGGTATGTTGCCATATGTATGCGAAATTATCTGAGCGCGGGTAGTTTCAGGGGGACACAGTTCATAGAAAACCTCAGGATAAAGCATTTCTAAACTCGGTGAGTGGAACTACACTTAGTTTCAAAGATTCATTACGCCATGCCTCAAAGACATTAAATAGAACAGGAAAAACAAGGTGACAATCAGACAAAAAGCGCCAAACAGAAAGAAAATTTATACTCTTTTAGACCAGAAAGAATTAGGATTATCTGGGATATACATGCACAGTGATGCAGGATGTGTATCGGCATCAGAACATGTACAAGTAGGAGGCTGAGGAGTAGTGTACAGATAAGCGAGAAGTCACGTATGCATGATGTAGGCTAGAGAGGTGACCACATAAGAGTATATTAGTTAGACGAGAGGCTTCTCCTCTCGAGACAATCATCGATAAAGTTAGCAGTTACAGTCACTTCAGTGGACTTGAAGGTGCAATTCGAACTGTAGGCGGAGGTGATAGTCCAGACCGGAAAATATACATATTTGCAACGTGTAAAACATCTCTGTAGGTTAAACAATTGCATACTTATGTGCCATGGTAACCGGCTAGTCTATAACAGCTGTGTATGGTGCGAGTTCATGCTGGTTGATGAGAGCTAGTAGAGGTGAAGCCTGATCCACACTTTTGCGTGGGAAATCTAACTAACGCCCCCCAAAAACAGGCACGATGGATATTCCATTACTAACTCGATGAGCCTTGCCTGCAACTCGGGCGGGGTCGATTGTTTCATTGATTGATTGCTTGATAAATGCAGGCGGGGTCGAGGGGGAGGTGGAGATTGACGTGTAGCTGAGGGGGTTGTGGAGGTGGGGCACTCCGTTAGCTGAATCTCAGTCAGCGTGGAACTACCCTAGAGATAAGGGTAAGTCAATACTTTTAGGCAGCGAATAAGATACACTCGAGTTACGGTCCATAGTTCTAATATGGTAGGAACCGAAGTTCATAGTAGAAACCACATGTATATTCCGTAGACCTAATCTCATAAACCTTGGGACTTGACACTACCCAAGAGTTGTGGTATATACGCACTACAGAATCTTGCAGTCTATCCACTAGGACGATGATCAATCTCTTACAGAGAAACCGACTGATAAATCAAGGGAGCGAAAACGATTTCCTTTTTCTCTTATAGTTAATACACGAGAAGGGGTGTTCCCCGGTCGCCGAAGGAGTTTCCCAGCATGTGATTGTAATAGAACTAGCTATCACCAGAAGAATCACGCGGCTATTAATTCTTTCTAAGTGTGCTTCTTCCTAATCCTTCTCAGAACTTCCGCTGCCCTCAGCGCGCTTTTCTTCACTTCGTCATCCCACTCGGCACTCTCGGCAACACCTTTCATGGTTTCTTCGTGCTCCAACCACTTCTTCACCTGCTCATCTCCTTTTGGATACCCGTGCTCCTCATACCACGTACCTCCGTTGTCCCAGAAGATATCGCCCGAAACCTCAAGGACCTTCTCAAACGCCATAATCGCAGACCCCCGGTACGGCTGGAATAATGTCTTGCCTTCAAAGACACCTCTCATGGATTTATCAAGAACGACACGGCAGTTGGAAATGCCGTGCGTAGTGAGAAGTGCAGCAAAGTGGCAGTACGAGATCCAGGCCAGGCGCCTCGCGGCAAAAGTCCCACCGTATAAGCGGGACTCGTCCTCCGAGCAAAATTCGTCGCCATCCTCATCGGTTTCATGAGTGCCGCTGCAACCATCGCCACCTTCGCAAGGACCACCTACGATAGGGTGATGATGAGTAGTTGTTTCTCGAAAGAGGATAGGCGGCGGTAGGAGACGGGGGTAGGCATGGCGATTCTTGCAAGCAAGGGGATTGCGGGGCAGTGGAAGGGCGCTGAGGAGGTAAGGGGGTGAGGGGCGGTTTCGCAAGTGATGGAGGTGGGTCTTACCGAGAGCGTGGTTGACCATATACAAAGCCAACTGATCATACTTGTCCATCTTATCCATATCCCAGTGCGACATCCCAGCCTCATAGCTAAGCTGCTAAAACATCTGGGTAAAATTGATCAACTTCTCATTGTTGGTCATGTCGCCGCGGATGTACTCGACCATTGCGTCCCAAACGTCGAAGACAAGTAATGGGAACTTGATCATGACAGAGGGTTCGGTGTACGTGGTGAAGAATGCCTTGACATGCTCGATGACCTTGTGCGTGAGTGCGGTGGCATCGAGGGTAGGAGTTTCTTCAAAGATCCTTTCGAGAGCTTCGCGCCATTCATTGACAGAGTCAAGTTCATCAGGATTCGCGAAGGAACGGTGAGGGAGCATAGATCTATAGAACGGCCTTTATCGACTCTCTTGTTGATCGCCGCCTGCAGGGACCATCCCGGGTGCAGGGGTGCGTAATGCGCCTGAGCCTTATTAGATGCCCTATGGAGGTAGCTACATGTACTATACATGTAGGTAGTACAACTACTATACATGGAAGTAGTGCATGTACTATACATGTAAGTAGTACATGTACTCGTTTACATATTGCATGTCATACCAAAAGGTAGATTTCGCGCTTTTTTGTTCGGTATGCAATAGCAGTCTTGTTCCGAAACGTCATGAAATTAGTAGAGAGGTTTTGCTGCGGCCGACACCGGGGTTTTCGCATAGTGAAGTCACGCATATGTGCATATATGCAGTGTAGGTCAATCATTTTCGTTATCGGATACCAAGCATGAGTATATCATAGGCGGATGTAGAATGGCATCTGATAATGCGCCAAGGTGAGTGGCGAGACAGTAATCCTCACATCTTCAAAACGGTAACCGATATCGATATACCAGCAATGAGTGATCAGGCCGTAGAGGAAGATGTTATTGTATTACTTTCTACTACAGTAGCGAGTGTTGCTGGAGTTCTTTGCCTACATCTTTACACTCAGGATCATGATCAGGACGGTTCAGAGTACCGCGAACCATTGAGGATCCCGATTGGCATCCCGTTTGACCTAGACCTTTTGAGTGAAGGCTACTGTTTAGCTTTTTTTCAGTAAGCATGTCCTCAAGCTAGTCTGATTCAATTTCCACCTAACAATGTCAAACAGATTTACTCATTACGATATTCATCATATGTTGTGGTTCTTCAACTTAGAGGAAATGAACTTGAGGGCAAAATACACATGCACTCCAGAAACCGCATTATGTCTTGTTCTCTACAGACTCTCCGCCCCCTGCCGGTACAAGGAAATAATGTATCTTTTCCAAAAGTCCCGTTCCTGGCTGTCAGTTGTTTTGAACGACACCATTAAATACCTACTCAATCGATATTTAAATAGAATGGATTGGGATCAACAGCGACTTTCACTTGAAACAATTCGCAGATACGCCAATGTAATTCAACGAACGGCTGGACTCGGAGTAGGAAACATATGGGCATTTATTGATGGTACCATGCGAGCAATATGTCGCCCTACGGAAAATCAGAGACTTTATTACTCTTGATACCAAAAATATCATTCAATCAAATTTCAAGCAGCTACGACCTCCGATAGTATTATCAGTCATTTTAGGGGGCCTTGACTAGGAAGTCGCGGTGATTGGAGCATGTATATAGAATCAGGGTTACAACAGCGTTTACGAGAACTACATATCGGTCAAAGAGCAGAGGACCGCTGTTATTTATATGGAGATCCTGCATATTCACTTTCATATGGTGTTATGAGCGCCTACAGAGCTCTTCCCTATCGTCCACTGAATCCAGTACTACAAGAAGTTAATGCACTCATTTCAGTTTTTCGGTTTAGTGTTGAGCATAGTTTTGGAAATATTTTGATATTATAGGGGTTTAACTGATATAAAGGTAATCTCAAAATAGGTCTTTCCCCTGTCGCAGCATACTTTACCGTATCTGTTTTACTTGCAAATGTACATAGTTGTATATACGGTAACCAAACAATCCAACGGTTTGATTGTCAACTGCCGACATTGGAAGAGTATTTGGGTTAAAGATATTTATTTGTATATATATCTAAGGTCTCTTGAGCTCATCAAGTTTCCCCAAAATATGTGAGAGGAAATCGTTACTAAGTGCTTCCTCCGCCAACCTGTCTTCATTTCTTTGTCGCTCTATTGTTACTCTATTCTCCTCTCTTTCTCTTCCCAACTGCTCCCATAATTCCTGGAACTTCCCATCAATCCGTTCATTCTGCTTAGCTTGTGGTTGTCTAGAAGCTATAAGCTCACGAACAACTCTAACTATACCGGAACCTAAACTCTCCACTGCACTAATAACAGCCAGTGTATCAGCAGAATGCTCACTGCTGATAACAGATCTCCTCTTCTTTCTCATTTTTCTAATCTCTGTCGCAACAGTCTCATCACTTTCCTCCCCATCAGAATCTAATTCCCCGTTCCTGTTCCTTTTTTCACCTAAATGGACCAACATATTGCGACGATGGACTGCCGCTTCCTCTGCTTCATTAGTCAAATCTGAATTTCCTTTAGCAGCATCCGATACCATTCTCTCCAATTGGTCCTCATGCGCAATCCAACTATCAATCTTTTGCGGAAGTTTATCTTCCCTTTGAACTGTACCTAAAATATCAATTTGTTAACTACTTCGGACGACAAAAAAATTATAGATATGAGATTAACCTACCACTTTCCCTTTCCTGCATACGTACTTCAGCTCTCCTTCGCGCGACCATCCAACTAACTGTCTTTTGCGGGTCCTTGAGTTTTACACCACCCGTCTCCTGCTCCAACAGTTCAGAAATAAAGAGCCAAAAAGCGTTCTTCTTTCCCTGTACATGATCCGCTTGATAGTCAACACATAACCGCATGAGCACTATCTTTTCACCCTCTCTAATTGTACAGTGTGATCTCCTACTACTACTTTGGATGTCGGCAGTCATTGGAGATTGATGGCGTTGAGGAGAACAGCTTGGTTGTGAGTTTGATTCTCCAGCTACAATACTCAAGTTTTGATTTAAATCATCAACCGAGAGAGCTGCATAGGCTGAGCCAAATACGCGTTGTACTGACTGTTGTAAGGGAGTAAGGTTATGTTCCATATTGTTTCTCTTTTTCCGTCAGGTATGAAGGTGATCGTGTTGTTGTTATCTTGTTGGTTGCGACTGTGAAGGCAATTTATATGCAGTTAATCATACTACTCAATTGACTATCAAAACTACTACTAGTACATTTAGTTGTTTGCATCCCATTCTGTTATTTTCTCCTCAAGCAATTTGCTTAACTTTTCCTTCGAAAACTCTCCCAAACGCTTCAAATTTCTCTCAATTCCAGCTTTGTTGCAAATTTAGCTGAAGCCCGCTTAGCTTTGTTTGGATTCCTAGCTCTCCATTCCGCAGAACCAATTCTCTCCTGATGTTTTTTTTCCTCCGCTTTTTGAGTCTCAGTTAGCAGATATAGCAGATATTAGTAATAGATGTAGAGAGAGTACATACCTGAAGGCTTCTGATCCCTTATTTTCTTAAGTGCATCATGAACCTCTTGATGTTTCAGATCTTTAGTAGCAAAATGGAGAAGATGTTGCCAAACAGCTATATGGGAATCAAGCCGGTTACTGAAGTCCTTAAAACATGTTAGACATTCCTGGAACTTTGTACGGTTGTCCCTCCATTTTTCATAAGAGTTTTGATTTTGAACTGGAAGTAGGACTGAGGATTTCAAAGGCTTCTTCCTGATTCTGCCTGTAGCTGTATAGCCATAAGGGGCAGCCTGGGTATTTAGCTTTGGGGTCGGCATTGTGAGGTTGAGTTGAGTTGAGTGAGTGAAAGCGAACATGATCCACATTATAAAGGGTGGTTAACGCCAACATGATCCACATACAAAAGTGGTGAACGCCAACATGATTCGTGACTACAACGCGACCACCACCACCCCAGCGCGACCACCAGCACCTCAGCGTGACCACACCAAAACGGTTTTTGGGTGCTCGGCGCATAAGCGGATGCAGGCGCGCAAAACCTCTACTTTCTCATTCTCGTCCTCATAGACAACTTACTTGCAGCATGCAAACGCACTCGATATCGGACGGCCACAGCAAAACCTCTCTAGTAGTATGCACATATAATTTTACCTACACGTACATACTCTACATGTATGTACCCGGGTAACGTAGAATGCATCCCCCCCCCCCCCCCCCCACGGGGAATATTGATGCTCAGCCCAAGTGAGAGAAACATGATATCGTGCCGCCCACCTCAAGACCTCTGAGGTTCTTGCCATAAGTATCCTTTGGGGCAATTGTTCAACTGTTTCAGAAGGTAATTATCCCACCCTTCGGATCACATGGGAGAGCTCGATCGAGGGATCCGGAGTTCGTACCTCACGCAGCTTCTTCTTTCTTCGTTTCTATGATATGATGGAAGTGCACACCCGAATATATATTGACCAATCAGAATCATAGAAAGTCTGGCCACGAGACAGGCCGACCCCAGCACGGACCCAAAGGTACTCCAGGAGCGGGAGATCGAGAAGCCCTCCACCTGGCTGCGGGGGCCGGGCAGCTGGGTGTGGTCGATCTTCTGCTTGATTTCTGGCGCCGTGCGCCCCACAGTCACATCCCTATAACGGACAAAAAAGCCAGCACTCGTCGCCCCTCGAGGGCTATTCGCGAACTGAGGGCACTTCCGGCGGCTGCGGCATCCGGTCACCTCCGGGTGGTCGACATACTGCTGGCAACCCGCAGCGCCAGTGCGGTTCCATACTTCGACTATGACATCGACATCGCCCTGCACGCAGCTGCGAGATCTGGCCAGCTCGCGGTGGTGGAGCTTCTGCTTGCGGCCGGCGCAGATGTCAATGCGGTTCGAAGCAGCGACAACGACGTCGATGGACACCACGGGCAGCTCACCGCCCTGCAGACAGCTGCACGGCACGGCCATCTCGCGGTCGTCAGGCGCCTACTTCTTGCCGGGGTAGCTGTCAATGCGGATCTAGCCCTCGAGGACGGCCGAATAGCGCTGCAGGCAGCTGTAGAGTCCGGTCACCTACTGATGGTGGAGCTACTTCTTCTTCCCGAGAGCGGTGTAGACGTCAATGCACATCCAGCTCGTGACCGCGGATTCACGGCCCTGCAGGCGGGTGCGGGGCGCGGCCATCTGGCGGTGGTTGAGCGTCTGCTTGCAGCTGGTGCCAATGTCAATGCGGATCCAGCCCCCCACGACGGACGGACAGCCCTGCAGGCGGCTGCGGGGTGCGGCCATCTCGAGGTTTTTCGGGTTCTCCTTGGAAAAGGTGCCAATGTCAACGCGGGTCCGGTCATCTACACGTGATTGAGCATCTACTAGCAGCCGATGCCAATGTCAATGCGGATCCAGCCCCCCACGACGGACGAACAGCCCTGTAGGCGGCTGCGGGGTGCGGCCATCTCGAGGTGGTTAATTTTCTGCTTGACAATGGTGCCGATATGGATGCGGATCCAGCCCCCCACGACGGACGAACAGCCCTGCAGGCGGCTGCGGGGTGCGGCCATCTCGAGGTGGTTCAACTCCTGTTTAGAAATGGTGCCGATATGGATGCCGATCCAGCCCCCCACGACGGACGAACCGGCCTGCAGGCGGCTGCGGGGTGCGGCCATCTCGAGGTGGTTAAGTTTCTTCTTGACAATGGCGCCGATATGAATGCGGATACAGCCCCCCACGATGGACGAACAGCCCTGCAGGCGGCTGCGGGAGCCGGTCATGTAGCGGTGGTTGAGAGTCTGCTGATGGCCGGTGCCGATATCGACGCCCGCCGAGGAACTGCGGATTCACTCACAGCCCTACAGGCAGCTGCGAGATGCGGCCACCTCCCGGTGGTGGACCTTCTGCTCGAGGCTGGTGCCGATGTCAATGTCCCGTATCACGCCGGTAAACGTGGATTGGGCATCCTGGAGGCAGCTGAGGACTCCGGAAACCGGCTCGTATATGATCGTCTTGTGTCAGCGATAGGCCCAGCTGAGGATGGAACATTAATTGCCAGGAGTGGAGGTCAAATGCCCGGAGTTTCAATTTGACCCAGCCGTGTTTAGGGCGTTCCTGAAGCGTCCGGAAGACCTCCCGGAGCTCTATAACCAGGTTTGTAGCTCTCTCCTCTTGATAGCTTTCCACACGTGGCGGGTAGATGTCGACAGCTGCTGATGGTTCAAGCATATATAACCAGTTCTTGGGAGCGACGAGCAAATTACTACTTCTCCTTTGATTCCATTGTGCTTGCTTGACTAAACATCTCCTGTATTCTTCTTTGTTCTTTTGCTCTTTTCTATTCATTTTGTACCAAGCGTTCTACGCCCAGGGACGTACAGCCACTCCGCAAAAGTGTTCGTGATTCCGATTTCGGAGTGAGACATTTCTCCATAGGTAACCGTGGTGGACCATCAAAAAAAAAACCCCCCAAGAGAAGAGTTTCCCAGTGATCAGTGGCCTATCTTCTTTTATTATAGTCACGAACTATATTATATATTTTTCGTTGTTTCGAATCTCAACATTAATAACATCAACATTACGGGTGCCCCACACTGCGCACTGATCACATTAAAACTGAATCACGAACACTTTTGCTGAGTGGCTGTACATACTTGATTCGGATTTCTTTCTACTACATACATATGTGCACATGTCTTTGGACCGAATTCCATTACGTTTTATCTCTCCTTCATGTCTTGCGGGCATGGTGGTTGGTTGAATAGCTAGCTAGACGACAGTGCCCTGAGGTTTACACAGGGCTGTTCTGACCGAGTCGGAAGCGCGTCCTATCCACCAGAAAGTATGTACCGGGGGTTAACCATAAATACCGAGAATCTGATAAGATAAACACACCTATTTCACAGCAAGATTCTCTTATCAGATTCTTCGTATTTACCCTCAACACCCGGTACAGTCGAATCTCCCTATAAGGGTACGCTCGGGACCGGATTTTGGTACCCTCATAGGGCGTTTACCTTTATAACAAGCATCATTTTGTGTCTAAAAGACCCAAGAAGGACCAAGAAGTCGTACCCTTATAGGGCGATTATATTATTCTGATAGGAGGTACCCTTATAGAGAGATTCCACTGTACCTGTTTAAACGGATTGCACTGAAAAAGCCACCCCGCTCACCACAAGCCTCACACCCCACGCCTCTCACCCCACTTAGCAGCGACCGCACAGACCGAATGCTAAGGTACTCAGACATTGAATAAAAGCCGGCCCAGAGGCATAATAAATCTGGAGATATCCTAATCTGAAAGATTGCAAATAATCTCTCACCACTCTCTACTCGGGTAGTGATGGTAGAAATTTTTAAACGATGATCACATCGCCGTTATCTACTACAATATAACCCGCTTAACCCCCTCTATAAAATGGAAGTAAAAAATTCAATTATTTATAGAAGAATATATGCTATCAATTCGATCATCTTTATCGTTAGCTCTTATTTATACGATTGTGGGGAATAAAAGTTCTGGTTCTCGCTAAGATTGTAAATGAATACTATACTATATACTATACACCCATACCCACGTGCCACCTACGAACTCTGATGTTGAATTCTAGCTAATCAAGATACATACCCCTTCGCTACGTAATACCGGTCTTAATTCAAGTGAAGTATAAAGGGCTTGCTCGCGAGGTAATTTTGGATGTCGGGTCAAGTTGGTGGAGCGCGGCATTGCCAAATCGCCAAATCGCCAAGCTCAGTCATTGCACTTTTCTAGGTATGAGCCGCCGTACCAGCTGGTACTTGATTCATCCACAGACTTTATTCCTTTGCGAGTACATTATGTACCCTACAGCCCCTAACCCTACCAAATACAACCATGACCTCCAGTCAACAACAACGAGGAATTCAACGTAGCCGACTCGATCGCGGCAAGCTTTAGATCGGCTCACTAGTACTGTAGCCAACAGGCAAGCTCAAGTCAAGCCCTAGCCATATATAGCTCGAGCCAACTTGTCTTGCAAAGGGTCTGGGCTGGGCTCGTGCTCGTGCTCGTGGGAAGAAGCTCAAGCTCTCATGATCAAGCTAGATATGTTGAGCAAACTGATGAATTTATTTTGCGGAAAAAAAATCAGGTCCTATTTTCTGCCTCATTATTTTGGGGGGGGGGGGGGGAGGGGGGGTAACTCTGGTACGCAGGAAAGACAGGGGCCATAAGAAAAATCCGGTTGGAGCCATCCCCACTATGCAGCCCAAGACCAGCTACGAAAAAGAATAAATGATAGAAGCTAGGGTCTACATGCCCCGGGCCGGCGGTGACCGCCGAAATATCTGATAATATAGGAACATGCTCAAGCCATCTCGAGTTGAGCCATGGATAAAGCTCGAGCCAGCTCGACTCGTGGCCTGCCGAAACTCGTAGACCACATGTTACCGATATACCCGCTCACAACAGCTCGTACCCCACGAGCTTTCCCATTCCTAGCTGTGGATCGATTGCCAAGCAAAGATTACTATTGCTTTTACAGCCCCCGAAATAGACTCGCCAGCGAAGACATACCTAACGCTGGCCATGGGTGGGTCCCGAGATTTAATATATATAATGGACATCATATTCCCAGATGAGGCTCACATATCCACCACCACCACCACCACCACCACCACCACAAGATGCCCCTTCATCCCCCTCTGCTCCCCCGCGACTTTGTGTGAGCGGGAATTAAAGGGATCAATGATCTCTTTACTTTTTGCTGCCAGAGGAGCCACGCTATGTATCCGGCCATCACGGTCTGTCCACCTGGCGTGAGGAGGTAGGTGTAGTTGCCAGCTAGACAGACTTCCGATGGACGACGCTGTTGGTGCAGGTACACTGAGAAATCCATCTAGCTAGACGTCTGGACGTAGTATGGCCTTTACCTTTACCATTTCCCTTAGCTTTGCGCCTTCGAATCCTCAATCTCACTGTCGCAAATAATGGTGGGAAATATTTCTTTAATAAACCATTATTCAAACATAAGAACGAGCCGTCAGGGCCCACGTCAATCATACACTCATCTCCACCCCCAATATATATCCATCCCACACCGCAGCCTCCGAAAAAGCACACCCGCCCCCCCCCCCCCACGAACCCCCAAACTACGCAATCGCAAACCACACCTTCTCCCACCTACAACCCACTCGTCAGCATCATCATCATAATTACCTCCATCATCACCCCCCAAACCCGAGGACAACTTACGCATTCCTCGCCTCCTTCGGCACGTTGTCGCGCTCGTAGGCGTCCACCTCCTCCTTGCCCGTCCAGATGTCGATCTCGGCGGGGCGCGTGAGCTTCGTGCGGTACCACAGCTTGTGCCCGATGAAGGGCACGGCGAACATTAGGATGCCCGAGTACTGGTCTTGTCAGCTTCATCACCGCGGGAAGCGATGAGGGAGGGAGGTGCTCACGGTAGCGAAAAAGTCCGAGACGGACCACTTTTCGGGGAAGAAGACGTCGAAGCCGCTGATTACTGTTTGCGGTGTTAGCGCTTTTAGGGAGGGGGGAAGGGGGGGGGGAGGTACTGATGAAGAAGGTGACCATGGTGACGCCGTAGTAGGCGGCGTAGGGCATGAGCGGGGAGTGGAAGGGGAGGGCCGAGTGCTCGATGCCCTGGGACTGGTAGGCCTTGCGGAACTGGATGGTGGCCAGGAAGAGCGTGAGCCAGTTGAAGAGACTGGAGAGGGTTGTGATGTTCATGAACCTGGGCTGTCAGCTGTATTCCGGAGACTAGGGAAAGTAGAGGTCAAGCGGAGTACCAGTTAAAGACCTGTGCATGTACCCGTTAGAAAGATTACAGGTTCAAGATGAGACCAGCATGGACACTCACCACCGACGACCGCTCCGACAGCAGCAGGAAGGACAGCATGGTGAAGGCAAACACGGCGCACACGGCAAAGTACGGGATGCCGCGCTTGCTGCAGCGCGCAAAGACCCTTGGGGCGTGGCCGGTGATTGCGAGCGCGTAGAGGTTGCGGGACGCCGCAAACATGAAGCTGTGCGGCCACAATGATCAGCCAATCCATTCCGGCACAGAGGAATGCGGGTATGAGTATGCTATACACACCTGTTTCCGCAGGACCAGGCAGAGGTGAGGATGACGGCGTTGATGACGCTGGGAAGGCCATCTACAGAAGAGTCAGTACAACCTCCCCGAATAGCTATGTTATACCGATCAGAGACCACCGACCAATGCCCGCATTCACAATCGCCGCAACCCACGGCGAGGCTGCGGCACCCTTTGCGCCGTTGTCCAGGGCCGTGGTCAGGCCCGGGTCGTTGTATGGCACCTGCGCGTCTCAGCCGTCAGTCTTCGCTACCGCACACCGGACACCCGGCACCGGTACTACTACTTGTGCTCGTCAGACACACGCACCAAGACACCGATCGCCAGCACGCCAAACACATAGAAGATGACGACCCGCCAGAACGTCCGGCGCACGGCCTTGGGGATGTTGCGGCGCGGGTTCGTCGTCTCGCTCGCGGCGACGCAGATGACCTCGGACCCGCCAAAGGCAAAGCAGCTGGGCGGCGCAGGAGGGTCAGTCAGGACACCCGCCCGGCAGTACCGGTACCGGTACCGGCAGAGAAGCACTCACGCATTCACAAACGACTTGAGGAAGCCCAGGAACCGCCCGGTCGCGCCCGGCACGAGGTACGCGCGCATGGCGCCCGGGTCGCTCCAGTAGCGGAAGCCGATGCGGTCGTGGGTGGGCCCGCCGCCAAAGAAGAGGATGACGGCGAGGAAGAGCAGGCCGATGATGGTGACGATCTTGATGCTCGCAAAGACGAACTCGGCCTCTCCGTAGCCCTCGACGACTGCGGGTTTGTTGATATTCCGGGTTAGTACTGCAGAGCGCACGTGCGGAGGGGTAATAATTGGGACGGATGCGGGGGCTAACCGACTATGTTGAGGATGAATATGACCCCAAGGATGATGACGATCCACACGGCGATGTTGACCTGGGGGGGGGTGTGAGTATTACAGCTATGAGATGAAAGATGCTAATAGAGGGGTAGATGAAAGATGCTAATAGAGGGGTAGATGAGAGATACTAGTAGAGGGGTGGATGAAAGATGCTGATAGAGGGATAGATGAAAGATACTAATAGACGGATAGATGAGAGATGCTAGTAGAGGGGTAGATGAGAGATACTAATAGAGGGGTAGATGATGCTAATAGAGGGATAGATGAAAGAGACTAATAGAGGGATAGATGAGAGATGCTAATAGAGCGGTAGATGAAAGATGCTAGTAGAGGGTAGATGAAAGATACTAGTAGAGGGATGCTAATAGAGGGGTGGATGAGAGATGCTAATAGAGGGGTGGATGAAAGATACTAGTAGAGGGGTGGATGGAAGATACTAATAGAGCGGTAGATGAAAGATGCTAATAGAGGGGTAGATGAGAGATACTATAGAGGGTGGATGAAAGATACTAGTAGAGCGGTAGATGAAAGATACTGATAGAGGCATAGATGTGTATACACAGACTAAAGTCTCTACTCACACTGTCGTTCCAGTACTCGATCAGGAGGATGGCGGCCGAGACCTCGGCGCACACGGTGATGCCGGCACCGAGCGTGTAGTTCCACCCCATCGCGAACCCCCACGACGGGTCGAGATAGCTGTGGCTGTCAGCGTCTGTCTCCATCTGGGGATGCAGGATGCACATCCGCCCGCATACACATACTGGACACACATACCGGTGCGCGTAGACGGTCAGTCCCCCCGGAATGGGCAGCCAGGTCGTCATCTGCCCATACACGCCAACAGTCCCCCCTTGATTAGCACATTCCACATGTCATGTCATATATCCGCACACTGCACACACCTCCCCAATCGCCAGCATCAGCGAGTATATCACCGTCCCCACGATCGAGTACGCCATCAGGATGCTCAGCGGCCCCGCCCGCAGCAGCGCCGCCCCGCTCCCCACAAACAGCCCCGTGCCGATGATGCCGCCGATGGCGATGAACTGCACATGCCGCGCCTTGAGCCCGCGCCGCACGTGCCCGTACTCCTTCTCGTCGACGCGCCCGGTGTAGTGCTCGTGCTCGTGCTCGTGCTCGTGCTCGTGCTCGTGCTCGTTGGGCGCGCTGGAGCGCTCCAGGTCCGAGCTAGCGCTATCCTTCTTTTCGACCGCGCCGGGCCCTTCTTGCGGTTCGTTGGTGTTCATTTGGAAGGGAGAGTGCAGTGTGGAGCTACTTGGCTAGTGACTGCTGGGGACGAGATGCAGTGGAGGGGAGGCTATACATATATATATATATATATATTGTAGCTGGCCTATCATACAAGTATTGCTATAGCATACGATTGCTATACAGAGCATACGATACATTAGTTGCAACTACTCGCAATTTCACAGCGTTTCCGGACGCAACTGCTATTGCATACACAGAAAAAACCCGCCAAGGCTATCTTTTGTATGGCATGCAATAGTGGTCGCGTCCGGAAACGTCAAAAAACTACGAGTACTATACTCCACCGCAGCCACCCCATTTCCTGTTTCCGGGTGCATCCAGTAGGAGTATCATTCCCGCCTGCTGCAACCAGAAAGCTTCTCTCAACCACAGCCAATCGCCTGCGCAAGGACCGTTGCAATTGACCGCAGAACTGAAACAGCACCTGCCTGCCTGCCTGCAGAAGCTGAACTGGAGAGACAAGAACGAAGAAAAGGACTCTCCCCATCACATCAACTGATCACCGGTGCGACTGCTCCATCAAGCGCACGATGGATAGCTCGTGCGACACAAGGCCGACCATGTAACGGTGGTACAGGCAGACCCGCGAGGCGGACACGACGCAAATATGTACCCAGGCTCCGATGTATGTATTATTCTACACTTTCTCGTCACTCGCCCTAGAAGGAGCACCGCGTGGGGAGCGCCGCGGGGAAGGACAGTCGAGTCCACCTTGACAGGCGCTTCGCGGTGCACATGGCCTGGAGGCCATTGAGATGGATCGCCCGTCTGTGTGTATTTATATATCTATGTAGAGTAGGGTAGAGCAGATGTATACGTATGGACGAGAGCGCCGGGAGGTCGTATGCAACTGGGGGAGCAGCACAGTAAGGAGTCGAATGTCGAATACGCGGTCCCCCCGCAGATCGGTGCGGCCAGTGCCCAATCTCTGCGCGGGATATATATGGGTAGAGCCGGCTGTTTGCAGCTACTCTAGTTTGATTACCACATGATGAATGATGGCCGGCGAGAGGATACATATCGTGCTTAATTGTCTCCACTGCTCCAGTCCCGCACATGATGCTATTAATATCATGCGTGTGTGTGTGTGTGTTGAGCGCTGGTGTATGTGCTCAGAACTCACTGGTTATCGTATTTAACCTGTTTTCTGCGCGCCCCATTAACTTTAACTGACGTCTCTCGCGCAAAGATAAGGTCTGCATGCACAATCTCTTGGGTCCAGCGCTACATTCCCAAACCTCACAATCCACTCTTTTCTGGAAGGTTACCTTTGCGATCAACACATGTATGTATCCCCACGCCCCTTCGATGTGGAACCAGGGTTAGGGTTTCCCGCCATCCGGGATGCATGGACAGGCGGTTTTCGCTTTGGAGTCTGCATGCCGGATTATCCTCTTGGCCTTGAGTTGGAGGTGCGGTTACGCGTGCGCGAGTAATTGAGCCTTTGCATTCGTTCGCTGTCAGTGGATCATCATGGAGATGGATGTATTTACTAACCAGGCTGCCATTGTCCGTATATCCATCTTTCTGTCGAGTCTGTAGTTGCAGCTATAGGTATATCCAATGTGATTGGTGCTACAGAACGGGTTTCAGGCAAAGTACCTATTGTTGGCATTGACAAAAAGGTGGGGGGAGAGGAAATACATGTTGGTAATATTAAGCACATGGGTGAACCTTCCTGGGGACAAGTACTGCACCTCGTCCTCCCTTGCCAACGATAGACGAAGCGCTAATTACTGATGGACCTTGGCGTTGGTGACCGTTCGTGTAATCAATTCTCCAGCGAAATGGCCCTAGATTTATGAGAGTTACACATGGTCGTCGACACTGATTGTAGCGATGCCACTCTCAAACACCCCACAAGTATGCCAAGCCTTTGTGGAATCTTGAACATACAGTACCTACAAGCTTTAAGGAACCCTTCTAGGATATGTACAGGGTTGTTAGAGCCCAGTAAATGCTTATATCCACCGCCCGGTCGATCCTGCGCTTCGATACATGGATATATGTAGGCTCGCGGCACTTTCCCAGCCAGGATCAGCCCCCGCAAGCGGGGCAGGAGCAAAACTGTAGACGGCTTTTCGGTACAGCAATGGTTCTCATTAAATAATCCCTCCTCCAGTTGAATACTTAAGCTTGTTACAGTGACTAGCTAGTGACAAGGTGTCTTAAGGACTTGTGGCTTACGTGACAACTAAGCTAGTCTCGTGCCCAGCCTGCGCCTGTGTTTGCTTTGAACAACAGTCTGGGGACGAGACTACTATTAAGCCTAAGATTTCTAATCATCTAGCCTACGAAAACAACTTCTGCACGCTCTGGCAGACAAGCGTAAAAATATCCTTTATCTTCTGATATGCATTCTTCAAAGCCTCCATCAGCTTATTCAACATTGCCTTCGCCGCCATCTGAAACACATCCATGATAGCATCGATGAACTTGTCGTAAAGCTGCACGTGTTTCTTCCAGAGCTCCACCGCGATCATCGCCGAGCGAGGCGAGAGTCCGCTCACGAACTGCATCAGCTCCTGATTTCTCGCAACATATCTTTGCCGCATCTTCTCGCAGGAGTCGCTGTTGATTCTGGCCAACGCCCTTGCCGTCTCGTTTTCTCCAATGCTGGAGTCCCCGGCGATAGATTCTACTTCGCTCAGGTCCTCTAAGGCGATGTCCTGTTGGTCACGGACAAGGCCGTTCGCTATCTCCGAGAGAGCTTCATTGAGGTCTTCGGTGGTTATCTCGATGGAAGGCTGTCGCTTGGAGGATGACATGGTGCCTGTTGGGGGGATTAATTCGATCAGCGTTCGTCTATTATAAAACTGGGTGTACAACCTACACTCGGTATCAATACAGCTAATTTCGTAAGGTGATGCGATACCGTCAGAGCTTCCGGCTAGGAATGGACGTCTCGAACGATGAGGAGGGTAGAAGGTTCAGGTGTTATACGTATATACACCCGCGGTGTTTTGATGGGGATTTCTTGGCGGGCGCCTGGCTCGAGCTGAGCTGAATCCAAAAGGCACAGCTTGAACGAATCAGCGAGACTACAGGACCAAGAGCTGAGTGAGGTATCTGTAGCATTATTTCCAAATATTCATAAACGCTTCTGCTCTAATTTCCTTCCGCCTGCAAGTCTTTACGAGGATATGCTAGCAAAGTTATTATAAATGCATCTTGTACTTTATTACATACGACGTGTAACGTGGCTTCGCACGTCTAGACTGCTGCACTTGGTAGATTTTGTTTCCTTCTGCCCTTTCATTAGTAATTCGGCTTCAATAACTGACTGATCGGACGTTCAACGCTAACAACTTGTCCCAGAGTCCCCTGAACTTAATTCCCTCGCTCAGTCTCAACCTCTGGCCGGTATGATTCGTGAGCTAGATCTATTTCATCGATATAGCGGGGCTACATCGCTAGCCAGTCCATTGGAACCTCTTATCCCTGTGAAGATTATCTGTTACCCCGTTGGGCCTCAGAGCGCACAGAAAACTTCAAGTCCTCGAGTGCAGATATATATATATTGGACCCCGGACAGGAGTCCTGTATCGACACGGTGAGATAAATTGCCTAGTGCTCGCGTTAAGGGATTTACCGTGCTGGTTTTGAACTATCTGCAGACCAGTTAGCGAGCATGAAGTTCGTTCAACTACATATACTTGTCTCTACCGGACGATTCGGTCGTAAGGTTGGTGGTGTTCGAAGAGGGTACCATGTATGTATACTCTGTAATGGACCACTTAGGAAGAAAACAAACGCCTGGCTGGTGACCTTTCTTCAATGCAAACCGCATGGAACCTCAATCCTGTAATATGTTTAGTCGAAGTGCTTCTATTTAAATGCATTTTTTTTGGACTTGACGTATGTACCTTCAGAACTACACCTTGAGCGTTTCAAGTGTTTGCGTCTGTGCAAGCCTGATGCTAGGTGCGAAACCTCCGCCTTACTCTGTTGGATGCTGATCCCAGATAACCCCCCCCCCCCCCCCTTCCACAGTACTGCCAGCGCTAAAAGACGCATTAGTCCGGTGAGAGATTGACCACTGATAATCCCGGTGAAATAATAGATTAGTATTTATTTTTGATAGCCACTGCCACCACACCAACTGGCGCAAGGGCAGGATTAATGAAAACTCCTTAGTCGGTACGTACCCGCGGCCATAGATCGAAGTGTTCATAGTGGGTATCGAGGTTCAGTTGATAATAGAGATATTTTTGATAGGTACTTCCATTTTATCGTTAGATACAGGCCCCCACAAGAAGGTTAGTGCAGCTATATATGGTCACCGCCACCGTCACCATGCAGGCGTAGGTTTCGCCAGTTGATCTGGATGATCAGGGTATGTGGATTTCTTGGCGCTCCTTTGCATCCTGACACCCACACCAGACACAGTCGCTCTTCAGTGGGGCGGCAAAGCATAGCGGAGGAAAGGGCAGAATCAGAAGGCAAGGTACAACGATCCATAATACAATGGCACAATGTTTTTTTCTGGAGCTCCGACGTACCCCATCCACATCTCCTCCCCACTGCTCGCGATAGCATCTTCATATCGATAGCATCTTGTATGGCCGAGTGATATTCTATGAAGCCAATTCGGCGTCATACTTTGTCACTCGAGGTTATCCACCCGTGACTCTTCAATATGTTTAGCGCCAAAAGGTCGTGTGCCGCGGTAAACCGGCAAACCCCCCTGCCCAGCAGGGGAAGGGACACAAATCGAGGCGATGGCCGTCACAGAATAATAAAACGGTTTACGAATTTTATTACAGACTCATATTATGTGTATGTGGTAACTACACGTATTCACAGATATCAGGCTACATTACTAACTACCACTTGTCTACCTCGGGTAGCTCCTCGCCCCAGTACTCCTCTTTCACCCAGTTAAAGCCGACCTCCTCTGCTCCTACCGGCCATGGGAACCCATTGCTAGTAGCATACACCGCCCACATTGCTCCCGTAAAAACGAAGTAGCTACACAATTCATCCGTTAGTCATCCTCCACCACTCAACAGCGCCAAGTAACATAGAGGGCAAGCTATTTGACTTACTTGGTCGGCGCAAAAGCAAGCCATTTACTCTCCACCTCCGCCACCCACTCAATCTCACACCCACCCACCGACCACCCAAATTGATAGCGCAGCGGTTCCGCTCGAATCCAAAGCACCAGCTCGCCCTCCTCTTCTTCTTCTCCTACCGGAGTCCAGGTCTCGTTCACTGTGCCGTTTCTTATGATTTGGGTCCATACACAGAGCCCGCCCTCTTTACAGTTCTTTACAGCAACATCCTGATGCTGAAACTCGGACAGGTACACACTGAGTCCAACCTCTTGCCTTGCCGTCTCAAAGCCACCACGGGGCACAGCCAAACCCGCGCTGAACGTCATGTTGAGGCTTTTCTGCTTCCGTAGCAGCGCTGATGGAGTATCGCGATTCGACAGCGTGTAGATGTTTGGCAGCATCCTCAGCGGCGGTAATCCACCCACCCCCTGTGTCAGCTCGTAGTTGGCTGTATATGGCGTCCTAAGCTGGTAGTAATCATTACTTAGACACGTCGCATTGAACTCGTCATAGAACACATCTGGTGGCGCACTATTGTCGGGCAGTCCGGGCGCGTCAACAGTCAGTGATATGGGTGCCTGCACAACTGGCCACCCATCCACCCATTCCATCGGGGTCATGAATGTTTCCCGTCCTAGCGGTGAGGACCCGTTAACATTGCGTCGCGCAAGAAACGTCATAAACCATCTACCATCCGGCGTCTCTACCATATCGGCATGGCCCGTTGATTGAACGGTTAGATAGCGGTAGCCATACCCGCCATTAAACAGGATAGGATTCTTTGGTGCCGGCTCCCATGGACCCGAGGGCGTGTGGGATCGTGCGATCGTTGCACGGTGGGCGTCGTCAGTGCCGCCTTCGGCGGTGAGCATATAGTAGTATTCGTCCTTGTAGTAGAGATGAGGGCCTTCTGGGCGGGAACTACTATTGTTTGGGAGTGTGCCATTGTAGATCAACTGGACGTCGGAGGTGGAGGCGCCCGTATCGAGATCAATGGTAAGCTGATAGATGCCCCAAATGCGGTCAACATTGTTGTTAATGCCTTGGTGCGTGAGGTAGGTTTTGTTTGTCACGGGGTCTACAAAGAGGTCGGGGTCTATTCCCCAAGGTTCGGTCCTATAGGGTATCAATAATGCTGGAGACATAGGTATTAAGGATGGTAGGGGTACCAAGTGAGGTCGCTCCAAGTTACGAGGTCGGCCGATGATGCATAGAACATGCGTGGGAAGAGGCGGTTGATAGGGTCGTAACTAAAATAAATTCGTCGTCAGATTTAGGATAACGCGTGGCGATGAAATAAGAGACATACACCCATCTGGTCATGCCAATGACATAAAACCTTCCATGTAAATACCGTAACGTCGGCGCCCATACACCTATTCACACTCATCAACAACCGCCTCACGCCCAACCTATAGGGCAGATAGAAGCAACTAACCAGCACCCGTAGGGACACCATATAGCATGAGCGTCTCCGGCCTCTCGAAGGCATGGCTCACCAGCTCCCAATCAACGAGGTTCTGCGATTTATAAATTGGCACTGCAGGAAAATACTCGAATGTTGAGGTCGCAATATAGTAGGTGTCGTTCACCCGCAAAATCGAGGGGTCTGGGTTGAAACCCGGGATAATGGGATTTGTGAGGGCTGTTACAAGCCCGACAAGGCCTGCGACAAGAAGATTAAGGGAGCGTCCCAGCATTGTGTCTATGGCAAGCTGCTACAGCTGTCATCTGGGAACCAGGGCGGATTGAAAGCCATATGTATATGTGCCGCCAACTCGGGATAATGTAGCGACTCCGAAGTGCGGGGAGACCATCTTGCTTCATGGGTTCGTGTGTTCGGCGGAGTAAGGACCGGCGATATGCAATTCCAGGGTATCGGTGATCTTGTTGTTTGTGTAGGGAAGGTCGTGCTCTCTGGCGATGGATGCATTATGTACATGTACCTATATCACACGACTAAGGATGAGGTATGGTCACAGCGTTGCATTGTCACCAAACATGAGGGAGGCTCAATTCCCGGATTTGGACAGCGGGGAAAGTAACACCTGCATGACAGGGATGTGCCTTTTCAGCCTCATGAAGGGACCGGAGGGATTGTCGGCCACGCACCGTAAGAATCCTGAACTTGAGTATAAAGACGATAAGGCTCTAGCTCTGCTGTGTGAAAGCCACTCAAGCTCTCAAATCTCAGTACTCAAGCTAAATACTTGGCAATAAGACATATTTACTGTTCATCTTGCGCCATGATATAGCAGTAGACATTAGTTCGCGTGTGCACACCAAGAATATACATATCCTACCATACGTATACCAATTTCAATTCTGTTTTAGATCCTAGAATCTTCTAAGAGGAGCTTGTGTAAAATAATTAACTTGCTAACGTAAGAGGCATTGAGTGATAGAATAATTCATCATAGATCATCACCCGTCCTTGGACATCAGACCTAACCACATGTATTATGAGTTTATTGTTCAAATGGGACTCCCGATTGGCTCAGGTAGTCTACACTGAATATCTCAACGGCCTTATCTCTAGGTTTAAAGAGCAATATATGTTTGTAGGTCCCGAAACCAGATCATTCACAGTTTATTGAACAAACCGAGTGATACGATATGATCCAATAACCGATTTTCCAGAGCTGTGAATTTAGGATTTAAAAGTCCCGCCAATATCAATAGACAAGCAAAAGAATTTCATAAATTGTTATTAAGAGTCGTTAGCGTCTCTTGTATAGTCCTGACACGTAAGTTTGTTTTTAAACCTCCGGATCAACCAAGCCCTCCCACAGCCTGATCCTCTCAACGCCACCTTCAACAAGCTCCAACGGTGCAACAAACGCCATTTGACTCCAGGAAAAAAGCGTATTCCTCCCTCCAAAAATAAAAACCTCAAACCTACCCATAAATACACCTTTCACCCACACTCTACTCCCTCCGATCATATCTGTCTTTATGACAATTGTCCCGTTGCTCTCTTTAACATAGGAAATCTCATGGGATGAGGACGTCTCATTTGTCCAGATACGCCCCGGGTGCCCAGGGTCATAGCCATCTTTGGGGTCAATGCTGCGAAGCGGGTATTGAAACCCGTCAGCCGTAAACGTAAGGACCCCAGACTCTGAAAGCGATAACTCAAGGCAATCGTACGGCGAGCTCATCTTCCAAGGTGTCGATGAGAAGGCAATCGCCAGGGTGTAGTTCATGCCTTTACTTCCCAGCCCTACTTTTATCTCTCCGTCTACGCCTAATGGGCGCGTCCAGTCAATCAAATCCCAAGTACCTGCAATCCGCCTATCAAGATTCTGTCCCGGCGCCCTACCCGCCAAAGCCATCATTGATTCCTCTAGCGTCTCTACATCCAGTCTCAGCCCTTTAAGCCCCGACCAAGCCCTTGCACCAACCACTGCAATACCCTCGCGCATACTATAATATGCCTCCAACTGCGTCGTCGCATCGGGCCCATTATCATTCCAAGCAGCCATGATTGCACCCCTATTATATTCAGTTCCCGTTGGGAGCTGTTGTCCGCCAGTGGCGCTGCTGAACAAGCTTGGATCCCATTGAACGCCCTCCATGTCATTAAAATTCAGCACTCGCGCTACATTAAAGAACTGTGGGTATGTTGCGGGGAATATCGGGGTGTGGTCATTTTTAAGGCTTGTGTACGCCCACCTGTCATCCGAGTTTATAACGGTGTAATTACTACGTACAAGTTCGGCAGCGTTCGACTGTCCGTACTGCCAGTGCTGAATTATCACATCCTTCGAGATGACACTGTGATTCGTGGGCTCATACGTGCCCCAGATACGGACACGTTTCCCGGACTCTGCAAAGATAAACTTAGACATCTCGTTGACGAAGTTGACATAGTCATCTGCGAGCTCAGGATCATACTCGTCTGCGCCGATGTGGACTTCCTTTGTTTGGAACCAGGGAAGGAACTCTGCCCAAATGTCCTTGACTGTTGAGATGGTTTCTGGATGCGACAGGTTGAGGAGATCGTGCTTGTTGGCGAGCGCTAGCTGGGGCTTCCATTTAGTTATAGCGAGAGCGTGACCGGGTGATTCAATCTCAGGAATAAGCGTTATTCCTCGGGAGGCGCAGTGCGACTGGATTTCTTTGAAGGTTGTAATATTGTGGGTCTCATTGGCGCGCGTTATAAGAGGTTGTAGAAGGGGGTCTGTAGGGTAAAGCGAGAACTGAGAGTAAATTTCAGACCAAGAGGAATTGCGGCCTCGATTGAGTGGGTAGTTGTCGGATGCGTGGTAGTGAAATTCGGACATGCGGAACCTAAGTGTTCTTACTGTTAGCTCTCTAGATACTTATCCTGATATAGAAGTGTGTAATGATATACCATGAAGCGTAGGTACATAGCTCTTTCAAGAACTGTTTTGTAAAAATTGGAAGTCATTAGCATTGATCATTGCCCCCAAAACAAGACCAGCCGCACAATCATTTCCGCCCACCCATATCTCCTAACAACAGCTATAGAACAACTTACATCGGCACTATACCACTTCCTCCCCGCATCCAACATGAACCCTCTCGTCAACACCGCCGGCATCTCCACAGCCATTCCTTTCACTCCACCGTCCAACAAAAACGTCTGCAGCAGCGCCCTCGTCCCCCACCACACGCCCCTCGCACCAGCACCCATAATTTCAACCCCACACTCACTAGCCTGGATACGGAATCCCTCCTCGCTCGGACTCCCATCCTCGTATACATACTCCCCGCGCTGCCCCTCGGGCAACAGACCGAGAAAGATGTGGTCACAGGTGCGCGGGGCCCTTTCTATGAGCTCGATAGGCGTGCTGGAGAGCTCAGGATAGAACGCATGCAGATCTGACAAGAAGGTTTGTGCAAACTCGAAGACGGATGGTGGTGTGAGTGTCAGTGAGGCGCTATCGCGATGATGGGCATACTTTGCAGAGACGTAGATCCTAGTGAATGAAGTGGGTGTGAAGGCCCCATTGGTGTTTTCGCTCCATGATATCGGTGGTAGGGCTTGGAGGGCATTGGTCAGAGGTAAGAGCAGGGAAACTACTAGGGGTATTCGGAGATCCATGTTTGCTGGGGTCGTTGTGGGAGAAGGGATGATGATAACTAGGGGCGTGAGTAGAGGAGAGGACTCGAGGTTCGTGACACGGGCCTGCTAATTGTGTTGTACTCGGAATGAAGGGGATATATGAACCAAAAGAAATGCAGTGACAGGAACACAGAGATGTCCTGCTGATACTCTATGTACATCCCCGACGTCCACGTCGGTTGTCCTTGTTAGCATCGGAGCGAAGAAGCTATCTTTAGCTCGAGCTCAATCCTAGCCTCTTGATCGTCTCCATTGATAGAGACAACACGAGTTCCGATGCGCTCATTACTGGTTATTAGAACAACACGTCTCGGCGTTTGTGCCTTTTACGGAAATATTCCCTTGCAGATAATTGGATCCGGAAGGAACGCGGTAGTTGCCGTTGTGACAAGCCAATAGTTCTGGTAGGGCTGATATATCGAATATCTCAGTTGCCCAACTCAAGCACTTTAATCCAAGTAAAAAAATTGCGGCTCATGAAGAGCGCATACATGTAACGTTAGAAATCGGGCCATCATAGAGGACGACGACGTTAAGCTTTAATTTGAGATGTTAGATCCTCGGAGATGAATATTAAGTACTTACCGTAGAAGCCATTGATATTCGGTTTATTACATGTAATAATACCTGCCAGGCTCAAGGTTTGTGAAATACTCTTAACCGGGATAACACATGTATTTCTAGATTCGATTGTATACTATAGATCAATCACATGTGCTTAGGGGATATCCCGAGCACGTACCAATAGTTAAAGAAACAGGCATAAATTGCACTACTGATAAGAACTTAAGCGGACTTCTGTTTCCAACAGTTAATTGCATCTCCTACTAATTCATACCGCGTGCCCTTCATATGCATGATTCATTTAAGGTCATGTGGGAGAATTGAAATTCGAAAACAAGTAGTGCACTAAACACTACATTCCTTAGACTGGGCTGGGTTGTCATTGATTATTACCCTTCCAGATTAGGTTAGAGTCTTACTGTCAAATAGGCCGTTTGAGCCATGGTAATATTCGGAGGCTGTAGCTGTGCCCAGTAGCTAGTACTGTCGATAAGTTTTCTGCTAAGCCAAGATTAAGGCCCAAGCAAATGCGAGTCTATTGATGTTAACCATCTAATCTAGCTATGGTCTCTCTATCAACGTAGTCCATCGTTCGCTTTGTGCATAGACAGGCCTATTTACTCCTCTCAAGCTGTTCCTCCTTCCAAATCCCCAATGCTTCCCTCACCGCGCTCTCCATCCCACTTGACACCAAGCACTTCTCCCTTACCACATCTTCCCACCCCCTCGCCCATAGCACACCATCATGCTCCCTTTCCTCCAACTTCACCTCACCCTCTTCCACCTCAACCTCAAAATTCCATTTTCTCCACCACCTCCCCGAGCGCCCCTGAAACTCCAAACATCCAAAGCACCTTAGCAGCCTGGTGACTTTCAGCCCCGTCTCCTCCCACACCTCCCGAACCACCGCGTCGAGCAGGGTCGCGTCTGTCGGCGGCGCCTCTACACCTCCGCCCGGAACCTCCCAGTACCCCGGAAAAGCGGCCTCGCCAATCGCCCGGCGGATGAGGAGGAGGCCACGCGTCGGATGGAAGATGAAGCCGCCAACGGCGCAGGAGGTGATGTGTGGGTGTGTCGAGAGGAGTGTGGGGAGGGGGAGGGCGTAGGCGTGTAGCGAGGAGGGATATGTTGCGCCAGAGGTGGTGGTGTAGGAGGGGGTCTCGTCTTGGGTTGCCATTTTACCTCTGCTAGGTCGCTGACCTGCGGGTGTGGTGGGGCCTTAATTGGGGTGGGGTTTTATGGAGCTAGGATGGCAGGTACGCACCGTTGCGTGGATCTGAGAATGGGAGGAGAGCTTAATAATATCTCCAGCGCAAGGATGGATTCCGTGTGGTAGTGAACATTCTGTACTAACCAAATGGGTTTGTGACTATTTCCCCCCTAAATGCGGCGGTTATTTGATTTTGTTAAATGTGTGCGGCTAATTCAAAGAGAATCTCGGATGAATACATTTATTATATCAGATTGATCATGAATCAGAGACATTTACAACAAGCAACAGGCGTTAAGAGTTAACTATATTGAGTTCTCACAGGCTATTTATCTTATTATCGTATCGAGTGATTGCTTATGACCAATCCATTCATGGATAATCACTCGAATCATATATGGCCGGTCACCAAGATAGACTTTGTTGGTTGTATAAGGGAAAGGGATAGGCAGACATAGGAGGAGGTGAGAGCGGTGTAGCTGGAATTAGTGATCGTTCGTCTAACTTTCGCGAATACTTTTTTTATTCTTAATTCATTGAGTTTAAGATACCTGGCAAATGCCTTCCTATAATGGGTGGATTATGTACTTATATGTGCTGGTCTCGAGTAATTGTGTGTTTCTTCTACTCTACCAACCTCAGAGCTTAGCGGGAAATCTTTGATGGGCTTTGAATAACTTGGAAGATCAAAATTCTTCGGCATGCCCACTGTGAATAAATCAATAATTAATTACAGGAGAAAATCTTTCGAATTCTTCTAAAAGTACAGGTAATTAATAAAACTACATTTCTTTACTGCATAATGAAAGCTATATATGTATCTGCGCCAAACCACCCACATTCTACCTGCAAAAGAAAGAAAACATATGCGTTATTACAACAATTAAACCTTATCCATATATCACTAAATCATATCACCCGTTATCATATCATCATATCATTCTGTATATCCTCCACTCTAAAGAAAGATCCCACATGAACCGTATGCCCACCATGCATCCGCTCAATACTCCTTTGTAATATCAACAGCTACAACCAACCCCAACGTGCCCGCTATCACTGCACCCACGATCGCACCCACAACCACCAGCTCTCTCCCACCGGATATGGCCACACCTCTTAGCAGCCCATTCTGGAGTCGCCACCAGCGCAGCACCCCAACAATACTGATGATGAGGGCGCAGCAGGCCAAGACGACAGAGAGTGGCTTACCGACCGTACGGAAGCCGAAGGTGGGCGAGGGGTTTGGCGCGTGGTTGATGACGGTAAGTTGGGCGGTGACGACAGAGAGCATGCCGAAGACCATGGCGGTACGGTGGTAGGAGAGGTAAGTACGTTCTAGAGCTGTAAGAGTTTAGTGGTATAATCTTAGCAGCTGGTCTATGCAAAAAAAAGGGGGGGGGGGGGAAGTCGAGGATGGCTTCATCATAGAATGGGAAGATCTAGAGATCTCGAGAAGAACTAAGAAGGAATAAGAAAATAAGGAAAATTCGGCTAGTGGAGAAAGATTATCTGGTAATGATGTAGGATGATGCAATCCCCCGATCGATAGCTCTACATAGCTATGTGTGGGTATAAAATGACACCCCCACCCACACCACATGTCCTCCTATTCACCATCACCACTCCCCGCAATCCCGTCCATCAACCACACTCACTCACACCCACAACCACCACCATCACCACCACCCATCAACGACCCCACGCCGGCCATAGCTCCCGCCGGCTCTTCGGCAGATTGACGCGATGTGCCGTGATTAGATTGATGGAACGGAATGGATGTGTACATGCGTGGGTATGGGTGTGTGTAGGTGTGTGTGGGTGAGCAAGCGAAAGAGCTTGATTCATCCACCAAATCCAATCCTTCATCCAACCGAGATGCAGCAGCTCAGATTTCCCCGGGATAGAGGATCCAGCTGCAGGATGGCTGCTGCACAATGGTTTGAGTTTTGCATCCCATAGTTATGTGTTCCCCACCTCAATCACCGCCGCCTAAATAGCGATGATATAAAAACGAAACGAAACGAAAGAACAAAAAAATCTAACAAAAAAATCTAACAAAAAAAATAAAAAAAAATGCAGGGAACAAGAGGCTATACTATCTTGAAAGAAATAGTGAAAACGCGATCTATTGCTTGCGTACCTAGATGATCCCTTGCATGCTTGAAAGGGACAACCACAGAGATATTGTCCCCCCAAAATGCCTTCAGCCACCACTCCTGCTCCACCACCACCTCCTCCTGCTCCAATTCTTGTTCCTCTTGCTGCTGCTGCTCCTCTAGCGGCGGCGACCCCTCACGGGATTGTACAGACGATGCTGTCAGTGTTGAGTCTGAATCGGACGAATCCCTATACACTGGCGTCGTTGCGCCGGTGTTTCCACCAGCTCTCATTACATGCAGAGTCGCTGCATCGGTCTGTAGCGAGGAACGCCCAGTGTGAGGGTAATCCTGCAGCTCATGCTCTGTGATGTCACCAGGTATACTGGTATTAAACACCGAGGCAATTGAGCGGGCAGCTGACGTCGCAGAGGATATGGTTGAGGTTGAGGAGCGCTTCTTCTCTATGCCATGGAATTTCTCGGTGGTGATGGAACTCGAGGCGGTAGTGTCCATTCCTTGAGGCAATAGTGGTAGTAAGTAATCAAGTAAAGAGGTTAAGCTCGCTCGTGCTTCCCTGTCGACGATGTTCCGATAAGGTTGAGGGTTGTAACAGCCAACAAGCTAGGTAAGCTTGACGCGAAGAGCGCTTTGCGGCTGAGCAAGATTCGTCAAGCTTGGCGGGCATTTGTGGTTAGACTGGACAACAACTGCGCTACTGGATCGTCGGCAAGCTCCCCGCAACCGGTCCCCGAACAGGAGACCCTGGCACTGGAGATGGCACGGATGAGGTGTATCTTGTTCCGATGGGCTGCACATAGTGGGAACTTTTCCTTTCGTGTGGACTTGCCTTAGGATGGTATCGCGGCAGTTTGATTTAATTGTGAGTGGCTTGCCTTGTTCTAGGGCTGCAGTTGGAATTTATTAGGACATATCCATCCCTGCAGAAAGTTTCTACTTCTATTGAAAAAAGGTAGTTTGGGATTTTAACACATGATCGTTGCCAGAAGCTTTGAGGTACATTAGCGGGGGTTAGTAAAAAAGATTGCAAAAAACGCAGCAGGGTTCTGTTTGATGTTTAGTCCCAATTGCAGCTTGCGATTGGCAGAGTGAGAGAGAGAGAAATATAGCCTTGGAACAATAATATTAATCAACCCTCATCGCGCTAACACACCAGAATTAGCCAAAGTCGACAACTTCTCATTCCACCAAACCATGAAACCTTCAAAAGAGAAAGAAATGCTATCCAAAGCTCATATCAATTGAGGACATTGGTGATGATATGTCGAAAGGAAATTGGCAAGCCCACCCTATTCTTTTTCTATTTTATTTTTTGACTTTCCTGGTCTGACATTTTATAAATTAACTTGGCTGGTATATTAGCTTCAGTATTGCTATGGTCTGCATTGAGGTGCAAATTTCGATTCCGTTAATTGGGACCTCACAGTCAACTAAGTCTTCAATTGCAATGCTTCCAAGCTCGATTAAAACTTCAGATCTATCAGGATAGTACACTGGTTATAAGTAGTTTTGTCGATTCCCTCAATAATGGTCAATTGACCCCTTCTGACACAAAACTCATGTATCACCTATCAACATCTACTGATTCCAATATCACCTCCGCCTGGTGACACGAAAAGTTCGATATCCAGCACAATTTCAGGCTAGCATCCGTGTACCACCACTATCAATGTATGCACCACCTATGCCATGCAAGCTCCACTCCACCCAAATCTCAAGGATGCATAAGTGTTGTCATGCTGAGAACCAGTCAGGCGTATGCAAATTCTCCGAAAGATCAGCCCATACCGTCCCTAGTCTGTATATGGTAGCACAGAAAGCCTCACCTTAACGAGGCTGGGCACGTATATATAGAGAGTTATTGGTGGCCCCTACATACGGGTATCATTTCCATGGCGTAAGAACTCTCACATCTACTTGTATTTAGCAAAAGGATTTCTGCAGCTTCTACGGCCGGCCGGCCGGAGAAGAGAATATGCACAGAGAAGCAGGGCATGAGCCATTGGGGCTATGAGTTACTTTGTTGGGCTCATTATGGGGGTTCTAGTCGTGATCGATCCTCGGAATATCTCATACCAGTGCCGAAAGACACACGTCTGACGCAAACACATACAAAGAGCACGTTGGATATGCCGGAGGAGGTCCGTCCGATGCTAGCCACATATCCGGACAATTCAACCCGAGGAAAAAATTGGGGAGAGAGGCGAGACTGGGTTGCTTATGTATTTATGACAGCCTTTATCGAACGTAGAACCCGGATTTGTGAAGGGAGGGAGAGAATCCGGGGAGTGGATAAACTTGAAGCGGGGGAGAGGGTAAAGGGCAAGAGGTCTGGAAACTATGGATGACGGATATACGGATCTAGGTATTCACTTTGTATCAAGTGGTACCTGTGACCTGACCCGGTGCTATTTCGGAAGTTGCACCGTACTATTGAGAGCATGGGGTTTATTTGGACTTATGTTATGAATATATCATCGGTACTGGGCTGTATGGGATCCGGACCTGGGGAGATGTGAGGTACTCTCCCAGCTAGCATCTTCCCTGACGCCCCGGACCAATCACTCCAGGCCTCCGAGGGTCACGGAGATTGTTACATGTTGGCTCTGTAGTATTTGGATATAACAGATAAGTCTCGGCACTCCGGCTGGTAGTCCTTTGGGCTTATGAGGTGGCTAAGATTGCAGCCTTAGTAAGTTACATATCAAATATAAAAACGATATGTCAGCGACTCCCAGCTGGCGTTACTAAATGCCGTTTCTTACTTACGGAGCACTCGGTCTAGTCTGGTCTGTAACGTTCCGTTAACATATATGTATGACCTTATCCCATATGAGACTATACAGGAACATTCACCAAGGCCAAGTATACATAACTATAAAGCGAGTAATGTGTCTCCCATATATATTATATATATATAGATTACTTTTTATACCTCCTCGGCTGGGCTTGTGATATCACAGGCTAGTCCGGGTCAAGTCATTCGGTACCGCAGGAAGCTCTGGATACGTTTTAGTTTAATACCATCCACTCTGAAGAGTTCACACATACCTGGAGTGTTTCAGAGTATATATAATCTGAAGTCAATGATCCGAGTCACACTTCATGTGTCTCCGGCAAGCATCAACCCTTACTTTACTATTAGCCCCGAGCATTTCGTTAATTGACCTTGCTCCAGACCTCTCAAGCTGACTGATGCAAACCCATCAATTAATGTTTTTCGGTACCTTCGGGAATAATCAGCCGGGTTATATCGATCCATCAAGTTAGGCTGTAGCTCAGATGCATGGACCCGAGTCCATATATATATGAGACGAACGATCTGCAATCCAGCGTGTCTGGGGATTACTTAGGGAGTAGCGTTAGTTATGTTAGGGGGGCTTAATGTGGGTTAGGCTTAAAACAAGGTTTTAAGCATATTGCTCCGCGATTATCTATCTGGTCTTTGAGCTAGATCTCCGTGGTGTGTATGGGTGAATGTGGTCATTGACATTGACAGATGCATAATACGTCCTCTGTCGGCTGAAATGGAAAGCAACAGTGGATACCTCCAATTGGGAGCCATGGGCATATGATGAAGGTTAAAGTAAGTACTTTATGTCGTTTGCGAGAATAGCCAATAGATGATATATCGTAGTTCTGGATTTGGTCACGAAACATGTGTTTTTTCTCCAAACTGTCACTCGTCTAGACAAATCTGGTCTAGCCCGATTAGGCTGAATTGTAACACTGGAAAATGTTATTTCTGGCCACAAATATCATTGTTTCGGGAGGGGTGGTTCGATTTGTGCACCCTTAAATCAATTATTGTGCGGAGACAGCGGAGCGATCCAAGCGTGCGTGCCAATTTCGCCATTCGGAGACTTTCCCTCGATGTGGAGTAAATATGTGGGCCCTGGACATTGAAATTATTGGGTGTAGGTAATATGAGAAGGATTTTGTGACATGTCTTACCGTTCATCTGATGATAATATAGCAGAAAGATCAAGAGGAGGGGGGTCGGAGGAGGGGGAGGTCGAGGGGGAGGGGGAGGTACGTAGTCGTGATAGTACTCTCAAGTCAATTGATCAAGAGCCTCTAGTGTAGTCATTGATCCAGGTAACCTCATGTCTGGTAGAGAAATAGTATGTCTTGTGGGTGGTAGTAGTATGGTATGATGTATCATGTACATGTATGTACCCCTCGACCGTTCCCTTGGTGAATGTTACAAACCGTCACCTCCGCAATGCATGCTATAAGCGCAAGCGGGATGCTCTGCTCCCACCCACTACGAATTTCTCGGGCTGGGAACCAATCACAACGTCCGCTGTCAACCACCATGCATATCCACCCCTAACCACTCCAGACAGGGGTAACTGGCAGCCCGCGTTCAGATTCCGGAGTGTAGGCCCGTCTGCTCCGACACCCCACAAATATGCTATGCCTGCAACAAAACGTGAGCCACGGACCGTATGCTCCGGCGGGCTTATTAGGTATGTATGTGCTGTTTTTTCGTTTTTTTCTGTTGGATGGGAGAGGTTCTACCATTGTACCGCATCGCATCGCAGCCTCATCCTTTTCTTCTTTTACTGACATGATGTAGCTTTGTAGCTCTGTTTGGTAGTTGAGCTGCTGGCCCGAGACTCCCCTATGCTTTTGATAATTGCGCCGATATTCCCCTTCAACAAACGTTGGTGCTTGGCGAGCAGCTAATGACTAGCCAGCCAATTGGATTACATTCATGACCATGTTAGCTGAGGAGTTTTGTTGAGTAGACAAAATATTTAGTATACTCATGGGTGGATATTCTTTTTTCCTCTTCTGCGTTTTTCCCGGATCACTCCCCCGGAAGAATCGTCTCCAATCCGGCGACGATCTCCCAGCGAGCGAGTGACCGCCGAGAGAGAAGGCCGCCGCAAGATAGATGAACGAGATCGGACATATATCAATATTGCCGGGTGGTGCAAGGAACAAATGCGCAATAGTCAGCTTGAGTGGGGGATGGGATAGATGTTTACTGAAGTTAGCAGGCGCGCAGGATAAAGACAGCACCTCTACATACTTAGTCGACAGAAATCTTATATGAAGAGCTCCTCCTTTCCCTACGTACTGGGAAATGTTATAAAGTCAACCCTCTCCGCAGTACGCAGCTTTAACAGGAGAAAACAGCCTTTTTAGAAAGACAACGCCCCCCCACTCTACCACATCTACTTCAGTTCCCTCCACTCGCTGTTCAGCTTTATAATTCTCACCCATATAACACATATTGAGATAAACGGACCCGGCACCGTTCTCCGGCCGCAAACACCGCAACAACGGGTTCCAGCTTAAGTAAAAGGGTTTCTACCTCGAAATCCAAGTCACAGTCTCCTCCAAAAATCAAGGACAAGGAGACAATGACTGGACAGAAGGTAGCAGATTATTCGCAGGGGAATGACAGGGTGAGGGATCTGCTGTCGAAGCTCACTTTGGAGCAGAAGGTAAGACTCTTCCACTTCCGATTACTCCCCATACTCCTTTTTCTTGCTTCTTCATTATTTGAGATTCATGGATGACTGGCCGGAGTATGTTTGTTGGCTATAATTGGTGTATGATCTAATGAGTGGTGGCGGTTGATTATATAGGTCTCACTTCTGGCCGCTCAGGATTTCTGGCGCACTCAGGCTATCCCCGAACACGGGATTCCCGCGCTCAAAGTTACTGACGGCCCTAACGGAGCTCGTGGAGAGTTCTTCACCGACGGCACACCCGTAAGTTCTTTCCTCGCCCCCTATCCTACCATACTGGTAGCCGCTAGTCCGCTGACAACCCGTTGAAGGCAGCTCTCTTCCCCTGCGGTGTGTCACTCGCCGCCACCTGGAACACCGATCTCCTCTACTCCGTCGGCAGCACCCTCGCGCTCGAGACCAAAGCCCGTCAAGCGCAGGTACTCCTAGCCCCCACAGTATGCATGCACCGATCGCCGCTCGGTGGGCGCAACTTCGAGTCGTTCTCTGAGGACCCCTACTTCACGGGTAAGATGTCCGCCGCTTATATCAACGGGCTGCAGAGCGGCGGGGTGGGCGCAACCATCAAGCACTTTGTGGCCAACGAGCAGGAGACGTGGAGGATGAGTGTGGACTCGGTGGTAGAGGAGCGCCCGCTGAGGGAGATATATCTGAAGCCGTTTGAGATTACGATGAGAGAGGCAAGGCCTTGGGCGGTCATGTCCAGTTATAACTTGGTGAATGGCTTCCATGCAGATATGAACGAGTTTATACTCAGGAAGGTTCTCAGGGGCGATTGGAAGTTTGAAGGGTATGCCGCATCCCACAATCTTGACCCAAGCTGTAGGAGTACTAACAGGTCAATGATAGCCTTGTCATGTCTGACTGGGGTGGTACAAACTCTACCGTTCAATCCATCAAAGCCGGTGTCGACCTTGAAATGCCTGGGCCTTCCAAGGTCCGCGGAAAACTCGCCCTTGAAGCCTTAAAACGCGGCGAGCTCACCGAAGCCGACATCGAAGAGTGCGCTGCCCGCGTCCTTGCTTGGATCGAGCGTTGCGGGCGCTTCGACCTCCCCGCCGAGGAGCCGGAGGAGAAGGCACTTGACACCCAAGAGACTCGAGACCTAATTAGACAGGCAGGCGTAGAGGGAATTACACTTCTGAAGAACGAGAATAACACTCTCCCAATTGGATCGGATGTCAAGAGGATTGCCTTGATTGGGCCGAATGTGAAGCAGGCTATTGCCGGTGGTGGTGGGAGCGCAAGTCTAAAGCCCTATTATCTAACAACGCCGTTTGATAGCATCACTGCCTTGTCGGGAGTGGAGATTGTCTATGCCCAGGGCGCGCAGACGGACAAGTGGCTCCCACTCGCGAGCAACGTGTGCACCACGCCATCGGGTAAGCCCGGGGTCGTGCTGGAGTTCTACAAAGGAGATAAGTTCGAAGGGGCGCCAATGTTTATCCAGAACAGGCCCAAAACGGATCTCTTCCTATGGGATAACGCCCCGAAGGAGGTGCTTCCAGAGTATTCGTTCCGTGTCAAGACGGTCATTACACCAGAGACTTCCGGGAAGCATACGTTTGGACTGTCGAGTGTCGGGCCAGCAAAGATGTATGTAAATGGGGAGCTACTGATTGATAACTGGGAGTGGACAGAGGCTGGAGAAGCTATGTTTGAGGGATCAATTGAGGTCAATGAGTCGACATATCTTGAGGCCGGGAAGAAAGTCGACATCCTCATTGAGAGCACGAACGAGGTCCGCCCAACACCCAAGGCTGGCGAGAAGACCCACGGATATGGTGGATGCCGGATTGGGTATATTGAGCGACCTGATAAGGACTTTATCGCTGAAGCGGCGGAGGTAGCAGCTAGCGCTGATGTAGCGGTTGTTATCGTTGGACTGGATGCCGAGTGGGAGTCGGAAGGATATGACAGACAGACGATGGATCTCCCTAAAGACGGGAACCAGGACCGCCTCATTGCTGCTGTGGCAAAGGCAAACCCAAGAACAGTGGTTGTAAACCAGTCCGGTACCCCTATCACCATGCCATGGGCAGACGACGTACATGCAATAGTTCAGGCCTGGTATCAAGGACAGGAGGCCGGGAACGCTCTCGCCGATGTTCTTCTGGGATTGGCAAACCCCAGCGGAAAGCTGCCTGTCACCTTCCCGAAACGATTGGAGGATAATCCGGCATACCATAACTGGCCGGGTGAGCATCGTCGTGTGGTATATGGGGAGGGCATCTATATCGGGTACCGACACTACGAGCGTGCCAAGATCGAGCCACAATTTGTGTTTGGACACGGTCTCTCATACACCACTTTTGATTATGGAAAGCCTACAATCAGCGGTACCATCCTGACAGAAAATAACGCATTAACCATCTCAGTTCCTGTGACAAACACCGGCTCTAGAGCTGGAAAGGAGTCGGTGCAACTGTACATCCGTGATCCAAAGTCCCGATTACCAAGACCAGACAAGGAATTACAAGCATTTGGAAAAGTTGATTTGGAGCCTGGCCAAACCAAGATAGTTGATCTAAAGATCAACAAGTATTCAGTTGGGTACTACGATACTTCATTAAGCGGATGGATCGCCGAGGAAGGCGAATTCGAAGCTGTTGTAGGAGCTTCATCTGCAGATATCAAGTAAGAGCATCTCACCTTTTATCTTTAAAAATATCGTTACTAAATATTTTAGGGGCTCGATTTCGTTCGAAGTAAAAGAATCATTTACCTGGGTTTTTTAGATGGACTCACTACTGGTGGTTTTTCTTTATCGGGAGTTCTTTCTCTCGCACTTTCCCTACATATCCTCTTGGTTTCTTTCTTGTACTACGCCTTTTTGTCTGTTTCAAATAAAAATGATCTAACATCTTCTCGCGAAGTGAGTTTTCTATTGACGTACGTGCTCGTTTGGACATAACGAATAAAATAATTAAATGAACGTGTTTTCTAGCTATCTGTGATTTACCGAGTGATAATCCATGAATAGAGCGGGTGTATTTCTTAAAAATGAGACAGGGGGTTTTATACCTTGTTCAAATGCGTTCCGTATTCTCCAAACGCCAAAGTTCCTCCCATTTCGTATCCAATTTGTCTTTGTCCCACTCCAACATAGCTCCAACCGCGATTTTGGCGCTATCAACCATCCGTTTCATCACACTGCCACTTTCGGCAGACGTCCTCACATCTAATCCGTTAAAGGCACCAAATGTTGATTTGTATTGATATCCTTCCAAGCGCTTTATAATTTTCATGATCTTGCTAGGCGGTAATGGGATCTACCGGATTCGCGAATCAGAAGGGTAAATGATCAGCAAGTGGTAAGGCCTGGATAGGAAAAGCGTGAATACCATGTTCGGAATAGACCACATGAAACTGTAGGTTGCAGTCCCTGGAAGTCGGTCCACGTGATAAAGAGCAGACTAGATTATCATAAACACACGTCCGTTTACACGACATCACATGGGGAAACATACAGGCACAGTCACAATCGAATCCGCAATAAACAGCACAGCCCCGGGCTTGTAATGTAGCACCATACTCCCTGGAAAATGGCCACCAACTTTGATAGCTACGAGACCACTATAATCTCGCAGAGGCTGGAAAGTGGGGGTATTTATCTTTCCGAATGATATTGTATCGTCGTGCCGGCAGAGCCAAGGATAATCTTCACTGGCTATATAAACTGGGCAATTAAAGGTACGAGCCCACACTGCGTATGTAGTATAATAATGGGGGTGAGATATTATAATCGCTTTCAGGCCGCCAAGGATATCTATCTGTGCAGGTGATAATGTTAATCTTAAGGGCTTCCAAGGAAGATATTTATTGGGTAAGCTACCATATCAATAGTGTCTTGGTCAAGGTAGGCGATCAGGTCCCAGAGAATATTGCCCCTTTCGGTTTGTATGAGAAACGCCCGTTGCCCAATCGCAAACTGTTAAATATGAGCCAAAATATGTTCAAATGCCTAGGATGAATGCGCCACCTTTGGTTCGGTCCAAATTGAGATGATCAGATTATTCTCAGGATCTCTCGCAGTGTTGTTACAGTAATTGCCTGAGTATTTGAGATCACCTAGGGTGGTAAAAGTTTGTCCACTGGGAGGGACGAACTGACGGGGGTCCTACATGCATGGCTGTTTAGAATAGCTAGCAAGACGAAGAATGTGTAACGTGGGGGCAGGAGCATACATCACAGATACGGCACTTGGTGAGGGAAGTACGGTCATCGGTGTCGAATTGAGTCCCGCAAGCTGTGCAGATGAGGAGAGAGTCGTCTGAATCGCTAGCCATTGTTGTCTGAAGAAGTAGGTTAGATGCATGGTACCAGCACAGCACCGAGGTCAATTCATGTGGTTATGGTGGGGAAGAGGCGATAAGATATTAGATTAGATCGATAAGATAGGGTTTTTGTGTTACAATCAATTGGATTAATTGAAGTAGTCACGCACGGGCACCTTTAGTACCTTTAATTATATAAACCAATTGCAATGACCTGCATCTATGCCTAACAGCTATATAAAGTTCTCGAAAGTCACTCATGAGTTTGCGCTCAGTACAAAGTTCACATCCCCTTCACTCGCCCCGCCTACACACACTGCTTCAAATGGGCTATCCCCACACACTGCTCTAGCTGCCCTTATACACCCCTCCCATCTACCCTTAGATACGTTAATTGTTGCGCCCGCCACTGTTGTCGTAAGGTCGAATCTTGCGGTCCCACTGGCACCGCTGGTGCTCGCCGGTGAGCCTTGGCATTTTGTTATTGCGCCGGCGATACCACCGCAGATTGCGAGCGTGGCAACATTGATATCATGGGAGTCGAGAGTTCTAGCATCAGGTTAGCTCTAGGTTATTTGTGAATTGGGCTGCGTGGTTTTGTGGGGTGGGCGGGCGAGTGTGAGTAGGCTTTACGTAGAGGGGTCGGTACAGGTTGAGGAAGAGATAGCGGCGGGATTGACGGAGGTATTGGCTCGGCGATTGAGGGATAGGGTAAGAGATGGGGTGACGAAAGCTTGAATGAGGAGAAAAAGAGAAATAGTAGATAGCATTTGATGGTAATGTTTAATATTGGGTGCCGGTTATATATGTGTGTATTAATGAGTTGAACTCGAAAGGTATTGGTTTTTGGCTTTAGTATAAGGTTAGGGTGTATATGTGGAAATAGATGCACAGAAAAGATTCGCTAGAAGACAAATTATCAGATACAAGTAACAGTCTTTATATTCTTGAGTTCTGTTGTCGTGATATCCCCAGGCCAATAATGACACCAGTATGAAACCACACATGTCGCGGGTTCCCACAAACGCCCTCTGTCTCGGCCCCCAATGTAGTTTCCAGATACTGTAGCTTAAACTGATCAAGGATCTCAAGTATCTTTTCGTGACCATTTCTTCCGCTTGAGAATAGTGACTTGGTGCTTTCTGTGCATGTGCGCGGTACGATGGGCCATGGGCTAGGGATATCGATCGTGGCCCACACATGCGCGCGCATGCTACATGCACAGGACCCTGCCACCACAACAAATAGCCCTAATTCAGGCCCAAGTTTTCATAAAACTCTCCTTGTCGCATATTGGTCATATATAGTTACGCAAAAGATCTCACCGGTAGCGATCAGCGACATAATATTCCATATTCAAAACTACGGTCCGTCCATTGAAAAACTCCGCCCCGGGCCGGCATCGACTAGACCATATTGCAGGAAAAACCGGTTATTGTTCCAACAACGGGTAATTATGCATATGAAGATTGACAAAATAGCGTAATATCGACTTACAGTTTCGTCAGTAATAGCACTGGAATATATAAGCTAAGCCACTAAGAAATATTTGCGAATTTGGTGTCCCTTATTACTGGGTGGACTGCGCTGCCCATCCGTCGAATATGTGCCCTTTTTCTGACAGTCGAAGGACATCTTCCACTTCATTGACTGGGCACCCTATTCAGCTTATTTCCCCGGTAGGTTGGATTATTTGTTGAGATCGAGGGTAACCGATCTTCCTGAAGGTATATCACCATGGAGGAAGAAACAACGAACGATAAATGAATACGAAAGAAGCGGTATGTATTGGAGCTTAAAAAAATAGTGGTTGTAAATGTAGGTCTACTAGTTGAAAGATAGATCGATAGGTTTAATTCGTTCTATCTCCAAGCTGCGTATACTGACATAGCTAGATATGTCAGTATTCTTTAATAACAGACCTGGATACATGAACCAATCCAGCGAGGATCACACACCTAATGGTATTTTGAGCTTCTTTACTTGATGCTGATCATTCTATTAGAGAATCTCTATTAAGAACTGTGTTCAGTTACTAGCTTGCGCGGAATTGTTCGCGCTTGCGCTCGGTGAAGTCATCTTGGGTGATCGATCTAAATAGCACCTGGGCTAGGCTAGACTTACCCAGCCCTAATATATTTCACGGCGGATATATCCTTCTATAAAATCGGGGTTAATCTTAGAAAAGTTTAATGACGTTGATAAGATGCGAGAGAAACAACCGTATGCGGAGTGATTCATGATCAACGTACACTAGAACATTCGCCGCAGATGTTGATCAGTAATTACACGTGTCCTGCTAGTTGAGCCGACGTACGACTTTGGTTATTATCACCATTTTTTAGTCTGGACCATGGCTCTGGTGTTTGGGCTCAAACTAGTGGGCTATGTTGAAGTCAATTCAAACCGCCACGATCCCGGTGATCAAATATGTAGACTGGTTCTGCAGTGCAGTTGAGACCAATTTTAAGTCGATTGCTATTGCATGCGCTTGAATCGATATATCCACAGCTCATATCAAGGTTAAACCTTCTCTGCGACCTGGATCGTAACCCAAATCGCGACCAGGACTAAAAGGTGTCTATACAGTTCAAATCAGATTTCGATACAACCGGCTTAGAACACTACATTACCGCCCGAATGGGTAAAAAAAATAAGCCTTATTTTGAGCTCTAAGACGTAGAAAAGCCTTAAATAAGGCATATGTCTCAAAAAAGCAAAAAATAAGCCTGTTTTGGGCGAAAGTACGACATTTTGCTCAGCATTATCTCTAAATCAAGCTCTTCTAAGACCTCTTCTGGTATTAGATTTATCGAATAAATAAGAATTAGTAAAATTCATCAGGATTATAGGCATTTACGGGTGCTAAGGCTGGGTTATGGTTAGGCACTTAGCAAATATTAAACCGTGTTCTTCCATCTGTTCTTTAATACCCTCCCCTCTACCTCTCTATCACCTCCGTCCCCTCTACTCTCCTAATCATCCCCCCCCCCCCCCCAATCTCCCAATCGTCAAAATTAATATCAAAACATGAGCTAATCAGCGAACCTAGCAGCAGCGAACCTAGCAGCAGCAGCAGCAGCAGCGAATCGAGCACCGAATACAGCACCAAATACAGCACCAAATACAGCACCAAATCGAGCACCAAATCCACCCAATTGAGCGAAATTAATAGGTCGATAGGCAGGTAGGCAGGTAGGCAGGTAGGCAGGTAGGCTGGTAGGCAGGTAGGTGGGTTAAATAGATTGTCTTAAATCAATGTACATATTAAATTCAGTATTAATAAAAACTTCATTTCCGAAATTCACTATGGCGAATAAGTGTAAAAGCATACCTATCAGGCTATCATGCTGATCTCACGAAT